CATCTGGGGAGCGATATTTTTTTTCCTAGGATGGTAGGGGAAGACTCATAAATGGTATTAATCCTAGTGACGGGTAGGTTTAGGGACGGGGTTGGGGTTCTATATTTATACATACAGTAATGTAACGTTAAGTCAACGGCGTTCATAAACACGCTGAAAAACAATTATGCGTGTTGATAGCACGCCAAAAATGGAAATACGAATTGGCGTGTCATACATATGCCATTTCATGAGATCAGTCTGGAATGTCTGAGGTTTGTTTTTTGACCAAAACAAAGTGTATCTGCATCTTTGAAGTGTGTGTGTGTGTGTGTGTGTGTGTGGTATCTTTTTAGCTGTCTGTATAAATGATTGTATAGATTAGAGACCAGGCCTCCAGCTGTGAGAATGGCAATGTGCATGTCTGAATGAAACCCACTCTCCTCCCATTCTCTAAACACACACACAGTTTCTCATTTACACCCTCCTCTCTCCCATTTGCAGAGCTTCTTTGGCTCAGTAATATTATTTTATTTTATTATAATTAATTTATCCTAAACCACCGCCTCTCGTCTGCGCCAATGACTAATGAATCACCTCATACTGCCCTGATTCCCAATGTACTGAATTTACTGAGAGCCCTTCATAACCCCATTTAATGACATCTAAAGAAAAACATGTTATACAAAAAGATTAAAAAGTAAAAATGAGTGGTATGTTATGTTCTGTTTCATGACGTTTTCTCACAATTTGTTTGAATCCAAGCACATCTTGTGCCCAATTTTTCCGTTGTTGTTTCACTGAGTGACCTATTTTTAGCTTTAATCATCAGTAAAGACCACCATATTTTTGTACTATCAGGGCATACAGTCTTTGTTCAGGCTTTCAGGGCAAATCTTTGAACAATCTTAGAGCCTCTATGAATGCTGATTGCGGAATCCTCATTCTGCGCGTCAAACAAAAGACGGGAGTGAATTTACATTTTGAAAGGTGTCCCAGTTATTTTCATTTGCATACGCCTTGGTTCTCATCCGTTTCCAGATAATGGTGATTAGTGGTGCGTGCACTACAGTTTACACATTAATGATAAAAACCAGGCGGCTTGTGATTTATTACTTACGATTTTCATCTGACTGATGATAAAACAAAGAAATGGGACATGAATCTAATGGACATTTGAAGGTGGATTTGTGATTTGGGCCAGTAAGCAACCAACCAGAACACCCAGCAACCACATAGTGAATAAAACTACCATAGCATCATGATATTGTCAGGTTCATGTTAGTTTCTGTTAACTCTTATTTTGACATTTGTTCCTGTTTCCCCACTCTGTCATAGTTCGTAACAATCAGGAGATCCCAGGAGAAGCGTAGGAGAAAAAAAGCAAAACCATAATTCATAAACGAGGACTGACAAGGCACTGTATTGAACAGGGAGTATATATTCACGTGGCAAAGAACCCTGACAGAAGAATTGACCGAAACATGAGAGGAAACCAAAACTAAACAGAGCAGGGAAACAGGAAAAAACAGAAACAAGGCAAAATGTCAAAATAAGAGTTAACCGAACCGAACATAAACCTGGCAGAAAGCAAGATCTGAGTGGGAAGGCACAATTTTTTTCTTAAGAGATTGCAATAACCTCAATATATATATAAGTTTGAAAAAGTAATAATATTAAATATAAATAAATAAGCATTAATAATCGGTAACTCTTTAAAACTAGCTACTAATCATAAAAAATACTTCCGAAGCAATTATTATAGTTAGTGTTGATTTTATTTATTACGTAATGCATTATTAAAATCTAAAGCCTAAATCTGTACTGCCGCTACACGGCGTGGGTCAAAACTACAGTAAAAACCGAAGTAGCCCATCTACTTTGAGCTGAAATAGCGAAACTATTGAGCAAAGGGGCAATAGAGCCTTTATCTCAAGCATGGTGACGTTTTTATGTGGGCAGAGCTTAGGTGGTGGCAGAACGATCCCTTTGGCCGCTTCACTAACGCTAGTTAGCAAGTTTTATTAGCTTGTTTCTTTAACAATGACTGGAGAAAATGCGATTTTATCTTAATGTGCAAGGTCACTCACTGTCCAGGACCACGATTGTTATTTGCAAAAGTTAATTTTAACAGACAGAACCAGATTGGATGACCCATACACTCACCACATCTTGTCAGTGGTGGCCTATATAAAGTGCAGGTAGACCTGTCTGCGTCTCAAGAAAACGCTCACTGTCTGAGGTTTTTCTCCAAGAGCAGGGATGCGCTGGCCCACGTCTAGCCCCGCTGGCCACTCTATGGAAGACATGAAACAACATCTATCATTCAAGACAGTGTTTCTTATTATGGCTCTTGCTTCACTGAAGCGCATAGGGGATTTACAAGCGCTCTCAGTAAGCATGACATATATGGAATTTGGGCCAAATGACTCAAAAGTCATACTCAAACCAAGACATGGATACATGCCTAAATCCCTCAACACACCGTTCAGGGCTCAGGTTATTTCCCTGCGGCCGCGAGCCAGGACGCGAGCCAGCTTTGCCCAGTCAATAAAAAACTATTGCGCAATGACGGTGTTTCCATTAACCAATGTTATGCGACTAAAACGTCTTTTTTTCCTCTCGCGATAAGTCATTCCAAAAATCATGGCAACAGATGTTGGTAGGTTTATATAATGCAGCCACCGCACTAGACATTATTATTATTAATGGACGGAGATGTGGTGTGTTATTCAAGCATTAATAGCAGGGAAAGACACAGAGTTCCTGGGTGTTTCTCCCTCATTTGATGTCTTGATTGTGGCATACCTTTGAGGTTTAGTCTAGTAGGCTATTCCTGTAATTATTGTTTCTTTTATGAATTTAATAAATAACTCTGTCTTGTATTATGTCCAAACAGTCAGTGTACTTTTGTGTCCATTTGTTTTCCTTTATAGCCCGTAGGCCTAATGCAAAACAAAAATAGAACGGTAGTTGTATTTTTAAAACGCAAAGTTGAACACCAACATTTTTATTTGAACTGTACACCAAATGCTGCGCAAAAAAAATAATAATAAAAAATTGACACCTCGTCCTCATCCCAGTTAGACGCCATAGTCAGAGCTAGAACTAGTTCTAGTAGCTAAGAAAGGCTGAAGCTACCTTCCACCACATCTACCTCATGTGACGTCATTGCCGAATTGCGTAAAAAATTACCATTAGGCCTACAAACCAAAAACTACAAAAACTGGACACCATTTTAGAGACATTTCTAACTTTATATCTTGACTGCTTTATGTACCCATTAATCGACAGCGGTGTTTAACCTGCACCATGGTCTTTAACCAATGAACAGTTTTTCACTGTAGCATTTTTACCGTTGTTGTTTTTTTTTTTTTTTTTGCTTTTTTGTGTTACTATTTCATGGATTTGTTAAATTTTAATAAGGTTAATAAATTAAAATAAACATATTGTTCATTAATGTTAGTTAATGCATTAACTAGAATTAGGGGACCTTTTTGGAAAATGTTACCAATAAAATATTTAGCACACTCAACAAACATTAATAAACACCTGAGACTAGCTAGATTACAGAAAAACCTCAATTTAGTCCATTACTTAAATACTAAAATAAAATGTACAAAAACTGAAGTTGTGAAAACAGTGCATTTTCCAAATTATTTCATTCTTTCAACTTAAAAAAAATTATTGTTTTTAATTCAATGCGTTACTTGCAGTTTCTTTTAAATAATTGTGAAATGTACTAGCAATTAGAGTAAATTTGCAAAATTGTTTCCATACCATGTTTTTCGCCCAGTGTAGATATGTACATTTATATTACACATTGATACTTTTATTATCTTTTTGCACAATGTGATGTCTAAGTGAATTAAATGTTGATATAGTTTGTCTCTCTCTAATCTATAAGCTGTTTTTGATTAAACTAATTTTGACTTCACAAACTAATATGCCTCATAGACAGTCAGACTGAACACATTAACTGAATTTGTTTCCCAGTGCTATTAAACCAGATAATATCTTTTATGTCTTTTCTATGTCTTTGTTGTTTTTTATTGTCTCTCTCTGTATCTATCTCAATCTCACCTTCCCTTCCTCTCTGTTTATAGTCACCGTGAGAGTGTATAGATCTGAAGAGCCAGTCTACACAATGTGTTCAGTAAACTGTTATGATGAATGAATGGAAAACGTTGGCTGGATTGCTTATTTTCATTAATGGGAATGCTTTCTTTCTCTATCCGTCTCTCTCGCACATACAAATTCACACATAGACAGACAGTCCTTTCTCTGTGACATTCACAACACATGTGATGTGGCAGTGTATAAATAACAAAAGTGATGTTTTGTGAGTGCATGTGTTTGTATTATGTATAAGATTGAATGTTGAAATGCATATACAGACCTGACTTGCTGTTCTTAATTGATGGTCTTGTTGACTATGACCATTAATGTTGACTACTTGATTCATATGAAAACAGCAATGCAGAGAAAGTGAAGAACAATGCTAACATATAGATGTTAACATATTTGTTGTGATTTGTGCATTTATATAAACACCACACCGTGAACTACTCTCTGGTGTCATTCAATAGTATCTTTCATTTTTATAGAGCATGTTCAAGAGCCTGGAAAAAAGTGTTGTAACAAAGATAGACGATTTTTGGGGCAATAATCTTATAGTTTAATTTTTTAGCTATATACAAAGAAATGGCGTTCTGGGACGTGGAATCAAACAGAGACATATCTGAAAATAAATGACCAGAAAACCAGTTGTAAGTTCCGTTTGAACTTTTGAAGCAATTTGCCATTATTAACAATAATGTATTGTTACATTATTAATAACAGGAAAGGTTGTGGGCTCTAACTCCACAAACTGAATGAGGTCAAATGGAGATAGAGGGTCCCAGGTCACTCAAAAATATGCATCTGCCAAATGAATGAATGATTTAGAAACAACAAATACCCGAACACACACATAGACCTACTGCAGTGTCATGCACGTTGTGATTGATACGTTACTGTAAATATGGACTTGCTTATGTGTGTCTTTGCCTTGGAACGTTTGATATTAATAACATAAGCAACTTAGATTTTCTTATTCTGCATGCTGTTGCATAGGCGTATGTATTTATGTCACATAAATTGCTTCTATGTTTTGGTCTACAATATAGGTCGCATGATTTTACATGTGTGTGCGTGTGTGAATGTCATGGTCTTACGTCAGTAAAGACAGCATGTTTATACTCCTCTCTGTCCCAGTGGTGAATGCTACAGCTTCTGTTCTCCATCTTTCTCCTTCTCTTTCCTTCATCGCCTTTAAAGGTTGTCACTGTTAGATGAGGACAGAAGCGGCTCACTTGTCGGGATTTGTTCACTTAGCTGTGACGCTGGAGAAATGCCATTGCCACGTGACCAGGACCACCTCACCTTTTTGTAACGCACTATAAACACTATAAAACGAGTCTTAATACACCTTGGGTGTCTTTGAACGAGTAGAAGCAACAATGGCTGCTCTGGGTGGTTTGGATGCATCACTGGTTAAAGGTTTTCTGCTAATGAAGCCATCTCCAGAAAAACTTTATTTCATGGATGACCTGAATTTTATTGTGAGGGACAGAGTTTGGATTTTTGAATGTTTTGTCTTTAAAATCTAACCTTTGCTTATGTTGTTTTGACTTTTTTCCCTTCATCTTTTGTTGTTACAGAATCGAGAGTTGAGACCAGAGGAGATTGATGGTAAGTTAGATGATTCAAATGTGCTTGAAAACTTATTTTAGCAACTTTACCTTTTTCAAACCGGTATAAACTACAACTAGAACATTTTATTGTTTTATTAGCTTGTGTGTTAACGTGCCATTCGTGTGTTTGGTATGTCTTGACGAGTGAAGAGTTGCGAGAAGCGTTTAAGGAGTTTGATAAGGATAAAGATGGATTCATCGGCTGTAAAGACCTGGGGAACTGCATGAGAACTATGGGATACATGCCCACAGAGATGGAACTAATAGAACTGAGCCAGCAGATCAACATGAACTGTAAGCTTCTGGTTGCGCACAGCCATAATCCTATTAGCTGCATCTTTTCACTACAAAATATTGACATCAGTCTGTTTTTCTTAGTAGGTGGCCATGTGGATTTCGAGGACTTTGTAGGGTTGATGGGACCTAAACTCCTTGCTGAGACAGCGGACATGATCGGCATAAAAGAGCTCAGAAATGCCTTCAAAGAAGTGAGTGGAGAGTTATATAATATAAATATAGTCTGTATAATATAAAGAATTTAATATACAAATAAAACATTTAAGAAATATATATAAAAAAATGTTTTATATGGATTGTTTTCAGTTTGACACAAATGGAGATGGTGAAATAAGCACAGGAGAGCTAAGGGAAGCTATGAGAAAGCTGCTGGGACAACAGGTTAGTGCTTTTGGGGAGGATTGTGAGAATGTGCTTAAAGTGACCAAGAAATTAAATGATCCTTTTTTTAATATATTATCTGTGCATATATATATATATATATATATATATATATATATATAAATTTCACAAATAAATCTTCTGGTGAAAACCAGTGTTGTAGTCGAGACCGCAGCTCACTCGAGTCCGAGTCGAGAACGAGACCATAGAGGGTCGAGTCCGAGTCGAGACCAAAGAGAGTCGAGTCCGAGACCAAAGACAGTCGAGTCCGAGTCGAGACCAGAGATGTTGGATAACCTAAGGTTGGGTCTCAAACCAGACTTAAAGGGATACTCCACTTTTTTTGGAAATAGGCTCATTTTACCACTCCCCCAGAGTTAAAAGTTGGGTTTTACCATTTTCGAATGTGTTCGTGGAAAAAAGTGGAGTATCCCATTCCCTTTAAAGATATTCAAGAATATGTAAAATATTTGGTCGTAACAATAAAATTGGCACCATCAAACAGTAAACCAAATATATCATGGAATCATGTACACTGTGGTGTAAAGGTAATTTTATTATAATTATGACTTACAATTATCACAAACAGTAAGTGCTTTTTCACATAACATTACTGCTCACAAATTCTGTGTGGCTCTTATATGGTCTCGAGAACACAACACTGGTGAAAACAGCTTAAACCCCGCCCCTTGCTTACAATGGACTGCTTGCATTCAGATCCGCCTCTATCCCAATCCAATCAACAACCGATGGATAGAACCAAGAGCCCAACGTACTTTATTTTTTCAATGTAAGGTTGTACGTCGCAATACAGAAGAAAAGATCTGTCTCTGTTAAAAGTTCTGCTGTTATCTGATCTGCAATTAGGTTTCTCTCCCTCATGTTTTCTTGGTTGCACTTTATTTTACAGTACTGCACTTTCAGTGTACAGTGTTTACCAAGAAAATACTGAGTAATATAAGGTAACTACTTGCGTTAAGATTAGGTTTATGGGGTAGAAGACTCAGGGTTAGACCCAGTTATTATAATTATTAAAATATAGTATGTAGGGGAAATATGACTGTAAATTAAAGTGCTACTTTTTCTAAAACCTGAAATATGAAAATTTACCAATTTTGAAAAATTTGCACACCGTTTAATTTCCATAAAATGACACTCCATTGTGACCACATTTTGATTAGATTTGTGTGAGGGGAAAATACCAGAATCGTTCAGTCAAATTTCTGAACAGTTCCTGTCACCTGATTTTTAACAATCTATTCTTGTTGTTTTTGTTAGGTTGGCCATCGAGACCTAGAGGACATACTGAGAGACATTGACTTGAATGGAGACGGCCGAGTAGACTTTGAAGGTAAGAATCTCAGAAGCACTATAGCAGGGCCGTAACCACCAGACATTGAGAGAAACCCCAATAATTAGAAACGGTCAAATTGTCTCCCCCAATATTTGCTATTTTTGATTCTGCTCTATTACGCTCCACTCTGTTGTTTGGATGACAAAAAAAATTAAAAGTAAACATTTTAGGCTGGTCTGCCTCAGCGTTTTTCCATTCCAATGTGGAACTTTTACATTGTTTTTCAATGTAAACACGCACTAGACGGATGTGTATAACTGTTGCACTCGCATCTTTTGCGGCGCCTCGCCCATATTCTGTGTGAACAAGCCCTAAAAGCGTTCAATGGCTAAAATGACTGAGATGGCCAATCAAGGCAAAGAAGGCGGGCCTTACTCACAGTAGACAAGTGTGAATTCCAATGTGATGCTTTAGATTTAACAGTGAAAATGTGTGTGGAAAGATGAAAGTAGCTAAACATTTAATATTTAAATGTTTCAAATGTTAAAGAGGCTATATGCAGTTTTTCCCCAAAAATAAACGTAACAATACCCTTTTTATTTGACCATTTATGACTAAAACATCTCCTGATGAGCATACTGAAACCTTGTCCGCTCACAGTGGGTGAACCTGTCGGGTCGGACTTTTCCCGCGCTGTCTGCGGATGTGACGTCAAGCTAAACGTCATGTTAAACGTTTCAGATCACTCTGCCACCACCGCTAGTCAGCAAGTAGCCTACACTCGCAAGCAGAACACTTTATCTCAAACAATGTTCTTACCTCTGTAAACATAATGTTGACCTCCTTGCAGCAGATGACTAGTGAAGTGTGCACGTAAAAGCGCGCGTTGTGAGAGCAGTTCTGTTTTTTGGCCACAGGTGTCAGTCGCGAGTTTAAATTTCAGGAAACGCATGTAGCCTCTTTAAACGACTAACAGTAAAATCCAGTGGTGCAAGCTTCTTAAAAAAATGAATTCTCAGTTTTGAATTAAAAATATGCTATAAATTATATGATTCATGTCATCCATAAATGTAACGAGAAAAGAAACATTTTGCGTTTTTAACATATTAGACATGAATAAGAGTCAATGTGTGCATATTTAAAAATATATTAAACTGATTACTACTTCACAACTACACTCTAAAAAATGCTTGGTTGTTTTAACCCAATTTTGGGTCAAATATGGACAACCCCGAAATGTTGGGTTAAAAATGTAATGTAAAAATTTAACCCAACGGCTGGGTTAGTCCATATTTGACCCAAAGTTGGGTTAATACACAACCCAGCATTTTTTAGAGTGTACTATTAAACCATGAGCTTATTTTACTGTTCTTGTTTCTTTGTATTTATTCCCTTAAATTCCTTTTAATCCTTTAATTATTTAATTCATTTATAAGTCCCCCCAATAATTTTATTCCTTAAAACTCATCTTTGATCTAAAAAATTACATTTTTTCCTGTTAAAAAAATACTCAGTCTAACATGAAACATGAATGTGCTAATTAGTCCCACCTCCACTCATTCATAACAGCTCACAGACTCACTCGACGTCCTTAGTGAGGTAAACAGTGTCGCTCTTTACAACGTCGGACGTATAACGGTAATTAATATGATTAGCCTTTTGCTTGACTGTGCTATCAAGCAGCTAATAATGTGTTGGTAATGTTACACAAGCTATATGTTCCCGTTCGCCATCTCAGTCTGCCTTCTAACAATCATTAGAAATGCTTTGAACAACTCAGAACGCCAGTGGAGAAAGGCATATAGTTTATCAAAACATCATACACCCGCTATATAGCTAAATCTACTCGATTTTTCTTATCAATAAAAAATATAGGCTACCGGGATTCCCTGGAGTCTCTCGAGAATCCCCTAGTTCGCTGTTAATGATATGCTAAAGTCCGCCAGTACGTTGACGTGATTGCATGGCTACAAGGTAGAAGCACCAGTCTTTCTTTCACTGCAGTTAAGGAGAAAATACTCAGCAATGGTGTTGACATGAATTTGCTCATGGTTTGTCTTAAAGCAAACCACGTTGGTCCCCCCAATCAATGTTCAAGACGGAGTTACGGCCTTGCTAATAAAAAGTAAAAGCAGACAACAGATGCACAGTGTTTTAAAGTTAAAGTCTCAGTATTTATTTTCTCCCTGTCTCTTTTAGAGTTTGTGCGAATGGTGTCCCGCTGAAAGGGCAGCGTTCATAGAGTGTCTCCAACAGAAGAAAGTGAGATGCTGCACTGCTTCCTGCTGGTCAAAGCAGACAGAGTATTAGACTACTGCAAGAAAGGCCCTGCTGAGCCGGCAGTGGTGTGTGGTATTAAAAAAATGAAAACTGGAGTTTTTGGAGAGAGAAAAAAAAAATCATACGCACACACACACACACACACACACAAAAGTATACAAGTATACTGTAGCCAAGTGTCTCTGCACTTTCAACCATGCAAGACCAAACAAAGTTTTTTTTACACGCACATTAGAGTACAATGCTTGTTATGGCAATATTACATTAAGTGTTGTCCCTGTTGTCCCATATATGTGTCTCCTTGTGATAAGCTAGGTGAAGAAAATTATGTCAGAATGTTTTCAGTCATACTCTGTGATGTCTAATTTGTTAGCAGTAACGTAATGGCGTAAATGCATTGACTTCCTGATAATATGTTATACGAGTCAAACTCATAACTCATAATTATTTGTCCTTGTCAAACTATTTGCCTGTTTCTGTTCTAAAATCACAGTGCATGACTTTAAAACAAATATATTCCACTGTGCAAGATGGAACCAAATTTTGTTGCTGGCCTCTATAGTTTTAAAGGTTTCATTTTAACATAGAACTACGTGATTTCTAAGTTTAGAAATGTTTGATTCACTATTTTAGTTATCATGACATACTTGTCAGGCAACTGATTTCAAGAGCACAGTTTGGCCTATTTGAATCAATGCAAACGTTCAATACCTGATCATGACATGCTTAAGAAACCGACAGTGAAGATTTATTTATTTGACTTGAGCCTCTTTATGTCTGTTTGCGTGAGCAGTGTGGAGGCATGTGTAGTCTTAACTGTTATCTGATCTGATTATTGCATGCCAAAAAGACCTTCATATGTAATATAGTGGTTTTAATACCTTGTAACAAATAAGCAAATAAAACTGTCTATTAATAGTGTATATTTTTCATCACCACATTTGTGTATAAGCTTCATTACTCTGTTCGTTTTTACTAAACTAAAGGTTTGCCTTATACCTGCTCTAAAGAAATGCTACTTATATACTCAAGGAGCAACAATTTGGCTGCTGTCTACTCTGCTGTTCTCCAAATCATTCAGCAAGGAGCATCACTTTTCCCAGCGGCTGGAACAGACTGTACGTGTTGTCATGGCAACGGGCCTTTTCCTCCGGACCAAAACGGGACAGAATTTATTTTTTCCTGCCTTTTCATTGTGAATGCAGCAGCTAGCGAGACGAGGGCTAAAAATAATGCCACATGCCACCGTGTGGTAAAAGACACGCAACTGTCATCATGATGGTTACTGTGCATGCGTCTAAATGAAAAAAAGTAGTCTATTTTTGCGTTTTAAATTAATGTAATTTATAAAGAAATATATTATTGTATTAATTCAATTATTGAATCAATCATTCGATTCTGCAAGGCAAATGTGAAACTTCCTTCATAGAAATGTGTTTTAATAAATATATCGTTTCAAAAACCAACTATTTTTGAACATATAATATTATTATTTTACATATTAATCGCTGTTTTATGATTTTATTATACAATTAATTAATCTATAACATAAAATTATTATAAGTAATAAAATATTAATAAGGTAACGTTGCTTTCCTGTGCCTAATCCCGCCCACCTTTCGCTGCGTAGGTGCAATGTTACCAATGAACTTAAGCCAGCTAATTTATGCGAGGAAGTGTGTGAAAGTTGATACACTTGATTCGCTGGTTCTAGACACTTCCATCGATTGTGATTGGTCAGAATCTGTCGTATTTTACGAGCCTATTCCTATCGCGAGCAAATCAAGTCGGAGAACCTGTTACTTGGTTTTGTTTGATTGGCTGATCTCCGCAAAATCCCGCCCACTCCGGAAACTGACTATCAAGTTAGTCTGCCTCTCCTTACTGTTCCATCCCTTCAACCTGCGCTGCTGACTGCACACATACCCACAGTACTGACGCGGCCCTCCCGGTCAGAAATTGCAGTGATTTCAGGCGCAAAAAGCTCAAAAATAACTGTGTTGAGCAGCATATAAGCGTTCAATAACCACGGTGTGATCATCTATTAAACGAGAGAGAGAGAGCACACGCCGTACACAGGGGTGCAGATGTGAGGGAATATACCTGCAGACTACAGCTGCCACACTGATGACAGAGCAAGAGGGAAGTCAGTTAGCCAGCTAACCACCCAGAGCTAAACTCGACTATAAGGCAGGTAATGAACGGTGATCTGGACGGCTCAACAACAACGAGCAATCCAAGCATCTGAACGGAGCCGGCCGTCCACTACAGAGAGTATTTCGCAGACTGCACAGTAAGAGTGACATAAATATTGGCTTATATTGCTTTGGGCTTTTTACACATTAAATTGTTAAATATTCTGGGCCATAGTAGGTTATCTTTTTCAAATAGACACACTGTTCATTGTTCTTCGCCCTGCTAGGTGTTGGTGTTAATCCTAGATATTCATATTTCTCACTGCACATTTGTGAAGCCTGGGTTAACCTTCTCATTTGCATATGCATGATGTCGGTAAAGCCGATTGGACGCATACAGTTCGAGACGTCCACGAGCTAACTGCTCGTTTATGTGTGTAAATGTCGCCACGTTTTAAAAAAGCTACATATTGTAAACAAAAAATAGTCCATTCATTCCGTTTTCGTCGCTATTTCACATTTTTTCTCGGACAATGAAACTAAACAGTGCGTGAAAGTTTCTTCAACTGAACGGGGCGTATGATGAATATTGAATGAGTTGAGCTGCGAGGCAGTTTATGATTGGCTGTTTGTTGCTAAACAAACTGCTGTCACAATTTTACACACAGTCGTTTTACTCAGTGCACCATTGTTAATATAATTAGATGTTAACCTGGCTTGCCCAGGGTTAAAACTTGATGTTAACTCCATTTACAATTATCACAGGATTAAAAAATGGCCATTCACACTGCGTTTAACATCGCGTTATTGTAAGTTTTAACCCCAGGTCAAGCGCAGGGTGTAAAGCACGCGCGAGTGACAGTTGTAACGTTAGTTCTAGTCTAGTCCTTACAAAGCGTTTTTCCCCGCTTCTGCTTTTCTTCATTCTTTCACTTTTCCCCTTGTACTTTGCAGGCTATGAGGAGGGTGACATTGCGCTGTGCTGCCCGGCTCGTATTTGCAGCTTTGTGGCTGTTGGTGGAAGTGTGTCAGGCCGAGAGCGGGGCCCCGAGTCTGGCCGAGAGAGTCATCTGGGCTGTAAACTGCGGCGGGGACGCGCACACTGACGTGCACGGTATTAATTTTAAAAAAGATCCACTGGAAGGAAAATTGGGGAAAGGTGAGTACTTAAGTTCGTGACGGATTGCAGAGTTGTATTTTTCCTCAATATTTGACTGCAAAGAAGGGGTGGCTTTTGTATGAAGGTAAAATGAATAGCAAAACTCGAGAGCATGTACAGTGAATTTGAGAACTTTTACAATACATATGTGTATTACATATAATGTATTCCAAATTTGAAGCTGCAGAGATGTAGTCACAAATGTGTAAAATGTCATTCACAGAAATACAATGACATATACAAACTTGTGGGACATAGTTGCACTTATTCTTACGTTTTACATGTTTGTGACTACTTGTCTACAGCTTCAAATTTAGAAAGCAGGTTTGTGACTATTGTCTGCATTACATTAAATTTCAGATTTTTATTTCACAGGTTTTCACATCAGAGCTGTGAGTGTAAATTTTAGTGTTCAAGTAGTACAAATGTTTATTGTGCAAGTTCTCAAATTCATATTTACATGCTCTCAAGTTTTTACCTTCATACTATTGTTAGTGGTGGTCTTGAATGAATGAATGAGTGTCCATGTCACTCCAAACCCATATGGCTTTCTTTTTTCCATGGAACACAAAATGAGTTATTAACCAAAGATTTTTGTCTCAGTCCACATTCAATTTCATTAGAAGAAAAAGATAAAAGTAAATGATGACTGAGGTATCTTTTGTGTTCCTCTGATAAAAAGAAAATCTTATGGATACGTAAACTTGAGGCTGAGGGTGAGTAAAAGATGACAGAATTGTAATTTTGAGTGTACTATCCATTTAAGAAAATAATTACAAAATATTAAAGGTATTCTGGTTGCATTGTGTTTTGTTTCATTACAGTATGATTTTAAATTGTAATAAGAATGTCAATCATAAAGAACTGGTTGTCTGGTTGGCTCATAGTAGTTTGTTATTAGAGCTGTTGATCATATCAGGAAGTTCGTGTCACTTTAAAATTTGATGACTGTCACTTCCTGAGTCTGATGAGAAATGCAGTGTGCACATGTCAGGGCCTGTATCGTGCATTTTACAGCTCTGTAAAGACATGTTTATTTGTCCTATTTCACATTATTGCATCATTGTCACCAGATAATGACCAGTATTATAAAGATGGTACTTAATTTTCCATATTGGAACAAAAAGAGGTGTCTGTGAAATCCTTAAAGGGATAGTTCACTTTGAAATTAATTTTTGATATGTTTTAGCTTACCTCAAGGGCATCCAAGATGTAGGTGTCTTTGTTTCCACAGTATTGTCAATTTTTATATTTTTAGGTCAAACCGTTCGTGTCTGTCAGTCATATAATGCAGGTCTATGGTCACCACCTCAAAGAGCATGCACAGAGAAGTCCAAATGAAACATGATTTAATGACTCGTAAATGTAAGTACACATTGATGGCCTAAGACACGAAACGAGTGGTTTGTGTGAGAAAACGAACAGTATTATATTGTTTTTACCTTATGAAACCACAGTCACGTCCAAGTGATCTGAGGGCGCGGGCGCTTTGGTCTGCGCAATTGCCGGAAAGCCCCGGAAGTGATCTCAAGCGCGTGTACGTCACTCATTGTTTACACAGAGATTTCAGTGTTACCCTTCCTTCACTGTGATGATCTAAACATATTTAGATACAGGAAATCGCACTGGAAGATGATTTTGATATATCGACAGACATTGTTTATTTTTTTTCGCAACCACGCAAGAGATCACTTCCGGCGCTTGCGCAGAGCGAAAGCATCTGCGCCCTCAGATCGCTTGAAGGTTGCTGTGGTTACAAGAGGTAAAAACTATATAAATACTGTTCGTTTTCTCACAAAAAAACGCTCGTTTCGTGTCTTAGGCCATCAATGTGTACTTACATTTACGAGTCATTAAATCATGTTTTATTTGGACTTCTCTGTGCATGCTCTTTGAGGTGGTGACCATAGACCTCCATTATATGACTGACAGTGACGGACAAGAACGGTTTGACCTAAAAATATCAAAATTGAAAATACTGCGGAAACAAAGACACCTACATCTTGGATGCCCTTGAGGTAAGCTAAAACATATCAAAAATTAATTTCAAACTGAACTAATTTCTAAGTGAACTATCCCTTTAATCTGGTTTGACATTTGCCAGCATGTTATAAAATAATAAATGGGACAACACTTGCGCACAAACTCACCACTTGGCTCTGCTGGTGTTTTTTTTCCCACCTTGCTCCAGCATCAGACTATGGTGTCCGTCTGCCAATCCTGCGCTCCAGCCCGGAGGATCAGATTCTCTACCAGACGGAGCGATACAACGAGGATACATTTGGTTATGAAGTACCCATTAGAGAAGAAGGAGACTACATACTGGTCATGAAATATGCTGAGGTTTACTTTGCTCAGTCTCAACAAAAGGTATGCATTTTGCTCACATCCATGGTGCACACAATAACTCTTGGTAATCGATATTTGAACGTGGTTATGATTAATAATTCATGATATTCCAAGGTATCCATTTCATAGTTTTCCCTCAACTCTTTCTCTCTTATCCTTTTATTGTCTTTTGAAACCCCTTTGTTTGCTTTTCTCAGGTTTTTGATGTGCGTTTAAATGGCCATGTTGTGGTGAAGGATCTGGATATCTTTGACCGTGTGGGTCACAGCACGGCTCATGATGAAATAGTGCCATTCTCGATAAAAAAAGGAAAACTGAGTGTGCACGGTGAAGTTTCCACTTTTAATGGAAAACTCTCAGTAGAGTTTGTTAAGGTAAGAGTCGGCCCTACATTTTCCTATTACCTATATGGATCTGCTGGTCCGTGTGAGAGAGTGTCATTAGATTTTATTTTTTATGTGCATTTTGGAATATTGCATTGGATATGCCCATGATGCACATAAATTCTAAAGATATGCATAAAACGAATTTGCTCAATTGATTACTTTTTTAATCCGATAAGAAGACATGCGCATTAACTATCGTGGAAACACATTTACCAAATAAATCCCTCGGTGAAGAGACGACTCAACGCCTGCGATATGTTATGGCGCCGTTTTATACATAAACAATATTTATATTTACTATTTATATATATATAAACAATATGAATGTAAGCCAGAGGAGAACTGGCCCCCGACTGAGCCTGGGTTCTCCCAAGGTTTTTTCTCCATCCAATCTGATGGAGTTTTGGTTCCTTGCCACTGTCGCCTTGTTTTTGGCTTGCTTAGTTGGGGTTATTTAATATTTAACAATATTATTGATTTGTGTTGTACTACTTTCATGTTATCACTGTGAAGCTGCTTTGATACAATCTGTATTGTGAAAAGCGCTATATAAATAAATGTGACTTGAATTGACTTGACTCGATGCACAGCCAAAAAGTCATGTGACTTTTTAATGACTGACCCCAAACCTTTGATTATAGTGTAGATTTACCAATAACAAGATATCTTTCACATGAACAGAATGCAAGTTACTCAACGGTTTCCGCTTCAGTGTGGTAAAATCCCTAAAACATAACTCTTTCAGTGACAGTTATGCAGCCATCTTTTATTGAATAAACCAGACATTTGTCAATTAAATAATAAGCCTTGTTATTTATTTTCTTTTCCCTAAAGGAATATTGATCGATTATTGTGATGAAGTTATCCAGTCACACACACTGAAGCTTAGTATTTCCAAGAAGACGAATTCTGTCAAAACTAATTGTTTCTTAGAGCGTTTTTATGTTCCAGCAGTTGTGTAATTTAATTGATCATTTCAAAGCAGCTCCCTTTTTCTTATGTAAACAACAAATGGTTTTGGCTTGTGGGGTTTCTGTCAGCCATTAGTCTCTGTTCAACCACGCACATTGAGCATGACGACGGAAATCCAGAGGGAAGGTGACATTAATGGATATGAGGATACGACACACATTAGCGCATATGTCTTGTGTATTATGCTTTTGCACCTGCCGTTATGCAGTGCTTTGACAAATTGTGTCCGGACTGTCCGAACCGGTTGCACAGTATTTGTATCTGTTTGAGGTTCAAAACCGATGGTGCAGAGAGCCCCATAACTGACCTTTTGCGACGCCTCGGGCTTTTATTCACTGTTAGAAGCTCTGCAGGCCAACCGCCACACAGAATATACTAGAATTGATTTGCATGTTTTCTCCATGTGTTTGCATGCATTCATCCACTGTAAGCACTGTGAACCCTAATCTATCTATCTCATGTGTCCACAGGGTTACTATGACAACCCAAAAATATGTGCACTATACGTGATGAAGGGCAAGCTAGAGGGTAAGAGGAACCCCTGGGATTGGTTGGGTTGCAATGGGTTGTCCATCTCATAGAGCTCTTGGATTCATAATGTGAGAATCGCAGAGTTTAGTCATAAAACTGGAATTTGCTGTATAACGTGTAATGTCATAGAATTTGGCAAATTTTGGATTAATAAACCAGAAGAAGGGCTGCACACTTAAATTATATATATAGTACTAGTGTTTTTTTTTAATTAAAGAGCAACGGCTGTTCGGCATTTTTTTCATGTCTCTTTATGAATGAGTACCCCGTTTTGTTTACTACACATGCTTATTTTATTTATTTATCAAGGATTTTCATATTTTTTCCATGTTTTAAAAACATTTCATAGGGCCCTATCACTGTACAAATTTTAATAAATTATTAAATAAACTTTTAATTCTTTTTTTTTATTAGACATGCTTTTTGATTATTTAAATTTAATCAAACCATTCAAAAGAATTCAGAAAATAACAGGAAATTTGTAAAAAGCAGAATTCGCGGGAAAATAAAACTGATAAAATAAAATATTTAAAATGTTTTTTTTTTATTATAAGTTTCATTATTTTAATTAGACAAGTAATATTTAGATTTTTACACGTGTAAGACATACAAAATTTAGTTTAGCCATTAACCGGATCCATAAAAATGAAAGCGGAAAAATTTAATCCAAATTAAAATGGAATAAAATAGAATTTGGGGAGGGGGAAATGAAAAATGATTTCAGAATGCTCTACTCTTTGTCTTTGTATCCATTATCTGTTTTTTTTTTTTTTTGCACTTTCTCATAACTGTTTTCTGCTTTATTTCTAAGATGTGCCAAAACTACAGCCACATCCTGGACTAGAAAAGAGGGAGGAAGAGGAGGAGGAAGAGGAGGAAGGGGAGGGTGTAGAAGGCGAAAAGAAGAGCCCCTCCACCTCTCCAAAGAATCCGGTTCGCTCCGGGCCGCGCACCCCCAACCCGTACGCCGCTGACAACAGCAGCCTGATGTTCCCTATACTCGTGGCGTTCGGGGTCTTCATCCCAACCCTCTTCTGCCTCTGCCGCCTTTGAGGGTTACAAGCGAACAAGAGGGAGAGAGAGGAGAAAGGACGGACATCAGGCTGTGGAGGGGTGGGGGGAGGGGCGCACAGCCATGGGGACAGGCAGAAATATAGACTGACATCACAACCGACAGAGAGAGAGCAAATTACGGGCGAGGGACATGCAGAAACGAGGAGGTTTCAGATATTGCTGGTTTTTTAAAAAGAGGTGACCCTGAAAATACATGGATTTCGAATGCGAGTTCATTTTGTGCGTGTGTTTGTGCTTGTGTTTGTACACATTTAATACCAATTTTAGTTCGAGGAGAACCAAGATGTACCGATTAAACGCACATACAAGCACAGGGCTGACCACTTTACAAACCTGGTTTGTCTGGTCTAGCAGGAGTTACCGAGGAAAAGTTGAGGACACTCCTAGATCACGTGTCCCAACTCATGGAAAGTTCTTGGCAACGAGCTTTTTTTCTCTGATCATCTGTGGTGTTGATCTGCTAGGGTTTTTTTTTCTGTTGCTCTGTTGGGAGGCAGAAATGGTACACAAATTTTCAGAACCCTTTTTGACACTTTGTCAATTATTTGGTTAATCTAAACCCGAGTGGCGAATCAGAAAGCGTTTTTGTGTTCTTAGATGATTTGAGACCATGGTTTCTATTTCCCTCACAATCATACAAGCTTCTCTCATTAATTTCCTGTAGCTTCTTTCATTGTTTGTAAGATTTGAAAAGCATATCACACATTTTCAGACCACAGCTGCACAAAGGAGATACTATAGAAATGATTTTTTTTTCCATTTACAGAGACATTTTGGTCTCTGAATAACTGCATGCGTTCGTTATTAAAAGAGAGCAGAATTGTTTCCCTTTCTTGGTGGAAACATGAGTCCGTAACAGAGGGTCTTTAATACACTGGCCTTTGGGTTCCAGAAACTAGGATTGTATTATTGGATTAATGTGCATTTTATAGTGTTATTCCTTTAATTTCTCATCTCTCATTGGTACATGATGTGTCTGGGATAGCATCCTAGAATTGGCGTCTTAAGTGACATTTCAAGGGCTCGGTCACCTATCACACGGTGAAACGAACGATGGATGCTTTACCATGTTTGCTTTTGCCACAGTTCATTTCCTCTTGGTTCAACCAGACAGGCCGTTTTCAACAACACCACTAAAGATACTTGGATTAGCGGCTCACAGGAAACCACCAGAATGCTTGTGGCGGAAGAATACAGATACATGCCTGCCTGCCACACACTGTGAAAGAGTCCTCAAGATGGCAAAGTTCAGTGCTGTCATATAGCTACTTATTTGCGTATGTTGAGTGAACTTTTGCATTCCAACTCGTCCATCGCTCTCTGCATATTCATAACTGGTATAGTTTTATCATGTCTTGCTGCTTTAGATTGTTTGCATCCCTCGCTGCTTGTTCCCCCTTATTTGGTTTTCGAAATTCTCCTTTTTGTTTCGCTCATGCAAGCCTGCCTTAAAATGTGATTTAGTGTGCTATCAAGAGACCAACTCTCACACTGCTGAAACATCAGACCACAATCGAGTGCTCACGCCACTGCTGTCTGATTGTCCTCTTGTGTGAATTTGTAACTTATCTTGGCCTTCACCTTCTCTGAGAGGGCAGGTTTTGCCTTGGTTTAGTGAAACAATCATAAAAACATCCAGGCAACTTTTTTCATTTATCGGAGTTGCAGAACGTTGATTGCTTATCGTCGCCAAAGTCATTTTCTTTTCTTAAAAACTTTTACACGGTGCATGTGTATATAAGGTACTTGGTTCGTTGTGCCATACGGTTAATTTTCTCTTTTTTTTTTCATTCATATAATTACTATTGGGGTTTCTGGGTTCTAAAATATCTGGTCGAGTGGAAGACTGGCCTTGAAAAATAGTTTGGTTGTGAATCATGATAATGGTTTAATTTGCATCCACATAGACGTACTGACCGATCGTCAGAAAGAGCTTGGATTGTATTGAGGTTTGTTAATTTACAGTTGGTTTTTTTGTGTTGTATAATTTAAACAAAAGGGGTTGAATATAAAAAAATATTGAAAGACTTTATTTTCCAGGAAGTAGTTGATTTTTTTTTTTTTTTTTATTTCCTCAGGATCTTTATTTGTATTTTTTTATGATAAGTTTTTACTAGTGTGAATTATTGCACTGCCTGGTGTTGTTTTAAAATCATTTTTTTTGTGTGTGTGTGTGTGTTTTTTTTATTTTTGTCAAGCATTGTGTACTTTTGATTCCTTGTTGCCTTAAATTTGAATACATCCTTGTGTGCTTTACCATTTTTGTTCTCTGATCTTTATTTCTGTAGGTTGAGTTAATGCATGGTTGTTGAGTTTTTCATTGTTTTGTCATCTGAAAAACAGGTTGTTCAGTTTTTTTTTTTCTGCACAGATGCACAACTTCATGGACAATAGCCAAAGACCACATGGAGGCCTTTCATTGTGTCCTCCTTCATGAAGAGCTCATGTGTATTACTCCATCCACATCACACCAACTGCTGCGTTTATGAGGCATGTCGTTTCTGTGTTTTATAATGTTAGTCATGTTAAATTCCCTGTCCCCTCTTTAGCCTCCCTCAGAACTGAAGAGAACATGAACTGGTGAAATAGTATTGGAAAAGTTACCTGCCCAAAATGTCTTTAAAGAAGGTTTCTGAAGTGGGAACTGCAAATTATTGCTGTTTCTTTTTAATAAATGTGCTATTTTATCTATCTGGCCTTGAAGGTATTTTTAATAAGGTCATTTTCATTGTTTCATTCATAAGTCGGTTAACAATTATATAGTTCAACTTGAGATTATAAATCAATTCTATAAATAGAGATTGTAATGTATTTTTACTAATGTTGTGAACAATTAATTTATAATAATAAACAAAATTATCAAAAATAGTAAACAATATATATAAAAGAAATCTTAATTTTTGTACTAACATAGTGTCTTTACCAAAAGCTGAAGTTTCCTTAATAAATGAACATTACATTTAAACTGTAAAAAAAAGTTCCAATGAGTTAAAAATATAAACAAACATTTTTTTTTTTGAACCAATAAAGAGCCTTACGAAAAGCTAATGGCTGCTGATTCAATGAACAATTCATTTACAAAAAAAGTTACAATTAGTTAAGAAACAGATAGATTTAGTAAAACGAACAATGAATTAAAAATGTAGAAAAATAAGATGAATTAAAAAAAATGTGATCATGTGCTTTTATTTTCATTTATAAGAAAAACAAAATGAAAACAAGACTTAATAACTGGCTTATAGAAAATTAGATTAAATGGATAGAGGCTAAATACTTCAAATAAAATAATAGTTAGACTGGCTCAAAAGAATAATAACTTTATAAAGAAAACTTTTTTTAATAAACTGACGTGAGCTGATGGGGGAAACTTGAGAAAGCAAACAGAAATTACGGTAACCATAGCAACTTTCGAACGCCTTCAGCCAATCAGAGCGCAGTCCCGTCGGCGTAGGTTCTCCATAGTGACGCGCTACGCCATCTTGCAATATCAGCGAGCGCCGAGTTCAGTAGAGACGCTGATTAGTTTGCGCTTCAACGCTACACCAAGGGAAATTTCGGAGAGATGAACAGTCAGAGCTCCCGCAACGAAACGGCAGCCGCCGCCGTTAACGGCTCGGATTCAGCGGCGGCGGCTTCCCGAGAGCGTAAAACTGGAGGCGGCGTTCTGAAAAGGCTGAAATCGCGACGAAATCAAGTGGACCGACGGCCTGTAACGGAGGAAGAGCTGCGGGCGCTGGGGAGAGACATCACTCCGGATGAAGTTTTGGGACTCCGCGCAGTCACTCGCGGTAAGAGCTGTGGGACAGCGCTATGATACCCGCTTCATCTCACACAACTCTTCAGATGCTCTCAATGTACATGTGCTATGAGTAACAGCACCTTCTGAGTAACGTTACATGTGTTTGTTTACTTACTTTATATAGTAAGAGGCCCAATCCATGCAAGATATTTTAATGAGTTTCGAGAGAGACTGAGAGAGCACTTAATGTCTATTTTAAACATGACCAATTAAACACTGGATACTGCATCATGTTAAGAGTATTGCTAAATAGTTTTCTCAGTGCACAGATTCTTGCATGTGTTTACTCAAGTCTTTTATTCAGAGATTACTAGTATATACTATGTGTTCCTCCCATGTATTACTGAAGTACATGCCACATTTTTCTCTCCACAGACTATCTTTGTAAACTAGAGGACAACATCTACAACATTGACTTCACACGCTTCAAGATCAGAGACCTGGAAACAGGGACAGTTCTTTTTGAGATTGCCAAACCGCCACACTGTGGTACGTTTCCTTTCTTTGTCCTCAAGTTAAACTAATAGATGACACCACACAATGGTTCTTTTATCACAACTTACTTTTATTACTTTTAACGCAAGTGAGTTTTTTCTTTCGACAACCTTATTTTTAATAATAGTGCCATAACTGGATCTTACAGTAAAAAGACAGACTTGTTGCACTTCTCAAATCATTTAGTGTTTAAACCCTGTGCTTTAATTACAGTCGACCTCAAGCTTGTATTCAGATTTGCCTCCATACAATCAACAACCGATGGATAGAGATTAGAGAGCCACAACCTACATTTTTCTTTACTTTCTCAATAATGCATATCAAAATTCAGAAGAAAAGATATGCCGCTACTTAGGTTACAACACAACTTCTATGGTATCAAATTTATTTAGAGGTTTTTGCTGTCATGGACTATTGAAATATGAGGGAATTTTTGACGTACTTTTGTTCATAAACAAGTATAGTAGTTTAAAGTAATCTCTATAAAATGATTTATAGAAAATACGTATGCTGTAATCATGAACAGTTGGAAAAGTAATAGAAATTGATTGTTCAAAAGGGGTTTGTTGTTTTATTATTATAGGTTTTGTTCATATTTTGAATTAGATTTTATTTTTATATTTTCTGTTTCATTTGAATTGAATTAAAAGTTTTAGGAGGTTTTGTTTACTTTTTAAAATATGCCTATAGTTTTTTATTAAAATTGTTTATTTTGTTTTAGTTAGTACTTCAACAAATGAATAAAGGAAAAAATATGTTTCCTTGACTACTAGCTGAAATAAAATAATTTTAAATTAAGTAAATAAAAGTAATAAAATGCGTTTTTAATTATTTAGTTATAGTTCACTATAACCCTGACTCATACACTCTTTTTCAACTTGTTGCATTCAGACCTTAATGAGGAGGATGAGGAAAACGGAGATGTTGACACCAGTGCCGGGCGTTTCGTTCGATACCAGTTCACAGCGGCGTTCCTTAAGTTGCGCACAGTCGGAGCCACGTAAGTCTGTCGGACATGTGCGTTCTGCTGTGTAAACAAACTTCCGTGGCCCTGAAATCCAGTTGACCAGCTCATGTTTTGAAACAAAGGAGCTTGTGTCATCGGCTCTGCAACACTTCTTGCACAATGTTATTGTTATTAGCCAAATCCCACAGAAATCATGAATAAATCGTGATTTTGGCCTCAGTAATGCTGTAAACATAAGCCAACTTCAGTCTGTGAGGTCTATCATCATGTTTTCTTTTTAAATTAGTGTTATTGCATGACATTAAGCACTTGTTTAGCAATAAACAAACTGACTTGAATGGGTTTTTAGTGCATGGATTGATTGTGCATTGATATGTAACATCTCTTATCTCCTTTCACACTCTCTTAGTGTGGAGTTCACAGTTGGCGATCGACCGGTTACCAATTTCAGAATGATTGAGAGGCATTATTTTCAAGACCGCCTCCTGAAGAATTTTGACTTTGACTTCGGCTTCTGTATCCCGAACAGTCGGAACACGTGCGAACATATTTACGAGTTCCCTCAGCTTCCAGATGACCTCAGTGAGTGTTCTGCTTGCTATTTGAACTAACTCTATACTCCTGTAATGAATATATCAGGGCCCGTATTCATAAAGATTCTAAGAATCCTCTTAGAAAACTCTTAACTTAGCTTAAAAGCTTTTTTGTAGGAGTATTTGGGTTTTGGGACTGATCTGAGAGCAACTTTGAGTAAGGAAAAGACAAACTTTCATCTTAGTGAGGAGGCAGGGCTGACCCCGTCGTAAGTATGACACAATCTTTTGAAGACTGATTGGTTGGTTGTTCAAGAAGGAAAATAAGAGTGATTTTAAGTATAGGGTCTATTCTAAGCCTTCACTTTGAAATTGCATGCATCATTTTTCCTATTTGATCGTTCTCAAACATTATGTGTATAAAAATCCTTTTTTATTTACCATGCTGTCCATTTCCTATGAGGTATTTGATTCACTTGGAAAGATAAAAATTGTTCCACTCTTTCCAATTACACTGATTGATGGCATGTCTATTTCAGTGCTGGTTTCAATGTAACAAACATGGCATCAAAACAAAGAAGGCAGAGAAAGCCCGACTGGACAGATGAACAGTGTTTACTGTTCGCCCAGTTGGTGGATGAACACAAGGCCATCATTAAAGGAACATTCGGGCCGGGTGTCAATATATAGTGTCTTATTAACTCAATGTCATCCATTGTCTGTAACACATTTCTCCTCCCATCTCTCCTCTGCTAAAGAAACTCTTAAAAGTCCTCATCTGTACTTCTAACAATTTGGACCTTAGGACCTCTTTTAAGGGTTAAGATGCTTTCTGAATTACTTTTTTAATAATTTTAAGAGTAAACGGACATATTTCTAAGAATTTTCTATGAATTTTGTCACTAGGAGCTACTCTTTGCTAGCCTGGTTAAAACCAGACCATTCTCAGTTGTAACTGAGTTATGGTCTGGCAAAGCGTCATAGACGAATCATTTCCAGAGGGGCGTCACGGATAGACCTAAAACCAATCGGAGCGATGAAGGAGATGACGTATGCAGAGAGGCGGCCGGTAGAGAAACATCTCCAGGTGTTGTTCTTTGCTCGGTTTTTAACAAAAAGGAAACGTTCAAATTGCTTAAAACAGACGCGATAGCTGATTCGAACGAGTGAAGTTCGATGGCGGCATCCATCTTTGTAATGTAGGCTACAAAATCTGCTTCACAATCCCAGCGCTGTCGTCATCGTGTAAAGCCCGCCCCAATGTTTCTGATTGGTGCCGCGATTTCGATGGATTGGAAATGGGCTTGAATGAGCTCTTTGCCAGACTAACTTTTAGAGTAAATTTAAATTTGCTGGAAGTTGGGTTTTCCCAGGCTAACTCTTTGCATTAAGGTTCTTTTATGAATACAGGCCCAGATCTTTTAGTTCCTAAACCAGACGTGCTGTTTTGTTCGTTTTTTGTTTTGCTTTACTAAACTACAATTTAATTGAATTTAAAGGAGTAGTTCACTTTAAAAAAAAAACTTTTGCTGATAATTTACACACCCCCATGTCATCCAAGATGTCCATGTCTTTCTTTCTTCAGTCAAAAATGAAAAGATTCCAGGATTTTTCTCCATATAATGCACTTTACTGGTAACCAAATGGTTCATTTAAAAAAAAAACAAAGTTTAGGTCTGTGATGCGTGTCCGTGACTCTCCTGTTCGAACTCATTCATCAAAATGAACGAATCTTTGCCCAAGTCAATTCGTTCATTTTGTTCGTTGAATGAACCAAATGACACGAAAAAAAGATTCGTTCATTTTGACAATCGAGTTCGAACAAGAGAGTCACGAACGCACAGAATAGAGCAAGGCGACCATTCGAGCTTATAAAACTTAAACTTTGTTATTTTGTTTTTAAATGACCGATCGTTTCGCTTGATAAGACCCTTATTCATCGTCTGGAATCGTTTAAAGCCCTTTCAACAGTTTGCAGTTTGTACTGAAACTGTCTTTTGGACCTTGAACCGTTTGGTTACCAGTAAAGTGTATTATATGGAGAAAAATCCTGGAATGTTTTCATCAAAAACTGAAGAAAGAATGACATGGATATCTTGGATGACATGGGGGTGAGTAAATTATTAGAAACAGTTTTTTTTAAAAGTGAACTGTTCCTTTAACAGATTTCAAGATTTTTTTACTTTGAAATTTTGTCTCATTTTCCAGTAATAATATCTATAAATGATTAATTTATACAAAAGAGTAAACGGTTGCTTTACAAGTAACACATTGACCTGTCTTTGTCTAACATCTCGCTTGTCCTGTCAGGCTTGTATCAAATTTCTTGCCAACGCTCAGATAGAGGACAGCGCATGTTTGTTTTAATTTGTTAAAGTGGCGTTCCTTTGTTTCCTGCAGTACGGTTGATGATTGAACACCCGTATGAGACCAGATCAGACAGCTTCTACTTTGTGGACAACAAACTCATCATGCACAACAAGGCAGACTACGCTTACAACGGGGGCCAGTAGTGCTGCTTCAGTAGGAAACATGACCTAAGTTTGTTGGAGTGACCGTGTGGTTTTGCTTGGTGTTTGCGTGGAATGCAAATACAGGACCGTCTCCTCGCTACCAACAACACGGTGTTGTCACCAGCATTATGATCTGGCAGCATCGACCCACCCAACTGGAAATGACCATTCCTTCTATGAAGTTCCTGCATTCCACTGACTTCACACACTACTTGTGGGTTTGGTCAAAAAAACCAAACAAAAAAAGAAAAAGCGGAGCCTTTCTCCTCGACTAGCCGGAACTGAAGAATTCCTGTCCTGTCATCCTGCTTTAGGGGCGACTACAATAGAAGAGTTGTTGTTTTGTAATGTTTGTTCTCTTATGTCTTGCACCCAACACCACCATGTGTCTTGTTTTGTGAGATTTTTAAAGCTCTGAAGTCCTGTTAACCGAACTGAATCTTAATGAGGTCTTTCTATGCTACAGCTTTGATACATAAATCTTTGGTTATTAAACAAAAAAAGGGTTTTTGCACAGATTTGCAGTTTTTGTAGTTCATTAAAGGGGTAGAACGGCATTACTGGGGTATATCGTCACTGAGATTGCAACACTCGGACACGTGATCAGGGTTAGGATGTCCACACAGTCCAGTTAAAGAGGATGTGATCTGTTTTCACCCTAATCCTATAAAGGGGGTGTTTACATGACCCTTTAAAACTTATGTTTTTTTGGCTGATCGTTTAGGACGTTTTGCAGGCCTGAAAATGCTAACATTTGAAAATGGGTTACTTAGTTGCAAGTTTTTGAAAATGATACCGTTATCGCCACCTTTTAAACTACAAAAACACGGATTTGTTAAAACGGTGGCGTCTTGTGCATAGATATGTGTTCAATCTATTGGCGCGTAGTTTTTCTTTACAAAGGGACATCGCCAACTACTAGCCTGGCAGAAGAACACAGCGTTGTTGTTTTTTTGGGTTGTTTTCGCAGATTCGTGTGAACAGGGATTGTTTTGACAATGGTGTTGTCTGTATGTGGACAACGCAAAGGAAAAACTTCCATTTTTAGTACTTCGTTGTTGTTGTAAAACGTACCCTAAAATAGCTGCAGTGATTTATGTAACTACACTACTGTTCAAATGTTTGGGGTCCGTAAGATTTGAAAATGTTTTTGAAAGAAGCCTCTAATGCTCACCAAGGCTGTAATATTATTACAATCTTATTTTAAAATGTAATTTATTCATGTGATGGATTTTTCTGCATCACTACTCCAGTCTTCAGTTTCACATGATCCTTCAAAAATCATTTTAATATTATGCTGATTAGAACCAGACCGATATATCGACAGACCGAAATTATCGGCCGATATTAGGCATTTTCCAAACTTTCGGTATCGGCAGTTATAATGGCCGACAAATTAATATTTCAAAAATAAAATAAAAACGGACGAAACACGTTTGAACCATGTCATGAATGTTGGAGTTGTATAGTTTGTCCACCAGAGGGCACTCTACACCGTTCCTGTTGGCAACACTCGTTGAGTTGGTCACGATACATACATTGCTTGAATAACAATTAAAAGAACATCCCCATCAGTTCTCTTAACTCAAATAAGCATGACAAAATTTGTGATATCATGTCCAGAAATATCGCAATATCGGATTTTAAAACCCCAAAATATCTGTATCGGTATCGGCCTTCAAAATCCTTTATCGGTCGGGCTCTAATGCTGATTTGATGCTCAAGAAACATTTCTTATTAGCAATGTTGAAAACGTGTTTCATACAATTTTTTTATAGGTAAACAACACATTTATTTCATGATTCTTGTTGAATAGAAAGTTCAAAAGAACAGCATTTATATGAAAAACATTTGTAACATTATAAACGTCTTTACTGTCACTTTTGAGCAATTTACTGCATCCGTGCTGAATAAAAGTATTAATATCTTTTTTTTTAACTAACCCCAAAATGTTCAACCCTAAACTGACCATTTTATAATGTACTTTGTTTTATTTTCGTCTATCTGCTTTATGTCAAGTCAAACAAAAGTGGGCTTTTCTTATGGTGTGTAGTTTCAGTCCTGTCGCGATCTGGCCGTAGAGCATCTGTCTGTGTCATGTCGAGGGTTTTTAATGTCAGGCTCAGCTGTGCATACATTCAGAAACCATGTTTTCACTCGTGTCACACAGAAAGGGATGGGATTCCCAACATGGTGTCCTTGTGCACCTTTCAAGCTGTTCAGCCTCTTTCAGAGCTTTGATGTTTACCTCTGATCTAATTCTGATTCATGATGTTTAATAGCGGTTGTGAATTAGGTGATGTGATTGGTGGAAACATTCAATTAAAAAAGCTTCTGGATAACCACCAAGAAATGCCTAACTTTACATTTTTAATAAATGTGATGGTTGTAAGATACCCATTGTTATTCATTCACAAAGTCACTCCTCAACTCTCAATATATTCACACAAACAAGTCAGAATGTCCGGTGACTTTCTTACATTTTTAAGTGTCCTTAATAGAGAGAAGTTGTAATATGAGGCTAGAGGACCCATATTTGTGAAGTAAGCCTATTCATGGTTATGTCTGTCTGATGCATTATACTCGTGTTGTTTACAAGGTACCTAGGGCTGGGTTGAAAATGTTGATTTCTTGATTTTAAATCCCAAGAATCGATCTTTTAGGGTAGGCCTTTGCTGTTTTCAGATGATGTGTGAACAAAATGCACAAATTAAGGCAAACAAACAATCCATTTAAAAAATCCAAGTCATTAAATCTTGCATTCATTTAAAAAAAAAAATGTTTATCTTCCTCAGTATTTTTGTTTCGGTTTCTCAATAAAAAGCTAACCATCTTCAAATCCACACAGTAAAAAAAAAATGTTTCACAGTTTTTACATTGTTAACTCATCAAGGAGTTTTTCAAGTATGTCGATTTTAACTTGTTATTCAAAATTCAACTAATTCTTTTAAGTCAGTTTAATGTTATTTAAGTTTAAATTACTATAAACATCCAAGTTGATTGAACTTAAAGATTTAAGGCAGCAACATTTGCATTTAGTTTTAACGGTGAAGATACATTTACCTTAGATACAAAAGTTTGGAAAAATGTAACAAAAATAAGCCAATTTATGCTTAAAATAAGAACAAATATCTGTCGATGAGTTATTAAAACTTTTCTTTGAAATAAGTTTTTCGAAGCCTGTTGGCAGATGTTTTAAATCATGAACTTGCTTTATTTTAATCAGAGACTTTTATTTTGGACTCCACAGTAAAATCCAATATTCTACCACAAGGTGGTAGCAACGGACAACAAATCATTTTAAATCCCATCTCAAAATATTTTCATTGCTTATGAGATGAATATGACAATGTATTTATCGCTATTTGGAAAAAAAGGGCTGCTTTAATTTAATAAATATAATCATTTACACAAAAATATATATTTTTGCAATACTGTTATACTAAAATACTGAGATGCAAATAGCATCTAACTACTATTTACACACTACAAAGAAAACACTGCTATTTTTACATAGTGTATATAGAATATATTGCCAATTTATTTTCATTTCATTTATTTTAATTCATAAGTATAATTACTTGATATATGGTGTATTATACAGTACACTACAGGAGGAGCAGTGGCCATTTTGAGAAGAAAAAAAAACATGATTTTGGGAAAATAATTCCCCAAATCATCATGACAACTCATAATTTTGTTATAAATAGAATATTTGATGTAATGTGTCCACTTGAACATCCTATGTCAGAAATCTAAGCCAGATAAACAGCAGAAAGACACTGATGTGCAAGCAGATTCCTTGAAGGGCACAATATAAGACAAAAAATTTTAAAAATGCCAATCAGAATCGAGAACAAACTTGTGTATAAATCTGATTAAATGGCACATAACTTAGAATGCACCTTCACAAGAATATAAACTAAAGTGAAATTTAATGCACATGATTTCCATCTAAACTATCCGCAAATTCAATGACTCGGTTGTGCAAGTTCATCTAGATTTTAAGAGTTCCTTGAAGAATGATCAGCGCCTGACCAATGATGTCCACTCGACCGTCATCTCTTATCTCCAGCTTTACCTCTCCGCCACGACTGGAACACTGGTAAGCTAAAAAAAAACAAATATAGAGGAGATAAATGTCTTTGCAACTTGTTTTGTTAACTTATATTCTTTTTTTCATTCCAGTATTTGTGATGACATCACATGAAGGAAAAGAAGGCTATTACCCATCATTTTCTTTTTCTCCAACTTCTCAGACCAATAGCCAGCAAGGACTGTATGTGCAGACCCTTTTAGAAATAAAGTTGTAGTACGATGCATTGATTTGTATTGGCTTAGTAATACTTATGAGTTTACATTGTTCACATTTCTCATGTTCTTCTCACCAGTAACTGGATCTTCAGGGACGCCAACCCAGGGTGAGAAGACACGGGAGTAGAAGTCATATCCAGACTGAGAGGTCTGTGTTTCTTTCAACGTAACGATGAGACTTTTAATCTTACCAGTGGTCTCATTTCTCACAAGAGTCTCTGCCTCTGGCCTCAAAGACATAAGATCGGACCTGCCAACAATAAAGAATTAACGACACTGTAGAGAAGCGTACTTCACATCCTAAGGGATTATTAGGAACACCATACTAATACTGTGTTTGACCCCCTTTCGCCCTCAGAACTGCCTTAATTCTATGTGGCATTAGTTCAACAAGGAGCTGAAAGCATTCTTTAGAAATGTTGGCCCATATGGGTAGCATTTTGCAGTTGATGGAGATTTGTGGGCACGAAGCTCCCGTTCCACCACATCCCAAAGATGCTCTGTCTATTGGGTTGAGATCTGGTGACTGTGGTGGCCATTTTAGTACAGTGCACTCAACAATGCCCATATGGCACTAAGGGGATGGACATGGTCAGAAACAATGCTCAGATAGCCCGTGGCCTTTAAACCATGCCCAATTGGCACTAAGGGGCCTAAAGTGTGCCAAGAAAACATCCCCCACACCATTACACCACCACCACCAGCCTGCACAGTGGTAACAAGGCATGATGGATCCATTTTCTCATTCTGTTTACGCCAAATTCTGACTCTACTATCTGAATGTCTCAACAGAAATCAAGACTTTGATGCTTTGCTGCATACCTCGGTTGTAACGAGTGGTTATTTCAGTCAAAGTTGCTCTTCTATCAGCTTGAATCCGTCGGCCCATTCTCCTCTGACCTCTAGCATCAACGAGGCATATTCGTCCACAAAACTGCCGCATACTGGATGTTTTTCCCTTTTTACACCATTCTTTTAAACCCTAGAAATGGTTGTGTGTGAAAATCCCAGTAACTGAGCAGATACTCAGACCGGCCCGTCTGGCACCAACAACCATGCCACACTCAAAATTGCCTAAATCACCTTTCTTTCCCATTCTGACATTCAGTTTGGAGTTCAGGAGATTGTCTTGACCAGGACCACACCCCTAAATGCATTGAAGCAACTGCAATGTGATTGGTTGATTAGATAATTGCATTTATCAGAAATTGAACAGGTGTTCCTAATAATCCTTTAGGTGAGTGTAGATTTTTCCTTTTTCTATGCAAAGCTGTTGTTTTAATGTTTAATGCATTCAAATACATTTCCATTATCAATCTCATTTTCTTTGTTAATTTCAGAAATGTTTAGCAGTACCTGTTGCATGTGTCAGCTAGACGAATCATTAGATTTTTTATGGCTGGACTGTAGCACACATCCTGAATGGGTAAGTCTCCAACAGCAGCCTGAAAACATAAGGCAAAATGGTGACAAAAAACTGTTTCTGCTTGTGTCATTCTAAAATATTCTAAAAAAAAAAAAAAAAAAGAAAGAAATAAATACTGACAGTGTTACCTTCAAAAGGTCCTTAATTTCATGTTGGTCCTGCAAATGAAACACCCAAATCTCAAATTCAGACCAAAAGCAACCACTTGATTGAGTCCTTTTTGATTTTGCTGAAGAAAGCGTCCACAAAGTGTCTTTTGGTCATACCTGAGGCATTGGTTTGTTTAAGGGGAAGTCCATTATTAAAGATTCTTCATGCTGGCGTACCATAAGCTCCCCACTCATAGTCTCAAACACCACAACAGGATTGATATTCTCTGTTTGAGGATATTGTGCTCTTAGAATGGTCACCAGTCCATTGTTTTTGGTAAAAGATTAATGTCAGGATGAGCATTTCTTACTTTTAAGGTAAAAGAGCACTGCTGCTGAGGCCAGTGTTGCATGTCCACATAATGGATACTCGCTTTTGGGGGTAAACCAGCGTAACCCAAACCTTGCCCCTTTAAAAATGTATCAAACCAGAATGTAAATAAGAGTTATTTGATTATTTCAAAATGCATCTCAGCAGAAGAATACCTGAGGTAAAATCCGTAGAATTCTGTTTTGTGATGAAAGCAGTGTCTGATAAATTCATCTCTGCAGCAATGCTTTGGTAAAGATCATCTTGCAGCTCCTAAATGTATTACAGAGAAACATTAACATTGTAAAGGGCAGAACACGTTTACATTTTATTAATATGTACGTTGACGTATTTAGAAGACTGTCTTGTGATAGTGTATTAGCTACTTACATTTTCTATAAGACATACTGCAGCAGGATTACCTTTGAAAGGTACATTGGTAAAAGCATCAACAGTAAATATTGGAATTTCCATTGTCGTGGCAAATTCGCTGTATCAGTTTTGGTCCCAAAACAAGCTCGTGAGTCGAAGTTCCAGGTCTCAGGCGATTTTAATTTATTGAATATGCAATAAAGTTGAGATGCCAGCTGTTTATCTGACTCATTCGATGTACAACCTCACTTCTTCTTTTCTTTTTCTTTTTTTTTTATCGCTATGCCCAATGGGCGCTTTTCTTTTTGCTCCACCTCATGAGACCATTGCCTAAAAAAGGCATCTCGCCTGTGCCAAACCGATCTCCACAGTCCACACACTAAAGTTTGGTTGAGGTGTACAAAATAACGCTTCAGTCTGTTTATCCGCGGTGGCGTAGGGAGTAAGGCATAAATATAACGTAGCCTAAAAATATGTGAACAAAACTATACTTTTGAAGCGATCGACCCGAGTTCGAATTCCGCCTGTTGCGATCTCCTTGTTCTCCTTTTCCCCATTGCATATTCGATTCAAGGCCTCTATTTTCAATATGAAAACTATCTGTGAAAAGTGGTATTGAAATGGCAACGATTTAATAAAAGTGTTTATAAACAGGGGGAGGGTTTCCCAATAAGGAGGCATAGGCTAAATGTTTTGCATGTACCTTGTATGTAAAATACTGAGTTGGAAATAGTATCTATTTACTCTTCTTACAAAGAAAATACAGTTCGAGTAGGCTATATAATTTTATTGCACATTGTAATATCTTAAGTTAAAATATAGGAATTTACACAAGTTGATATTTGTACAAGTCATAGAATGGGGGGCTTATTCTCCAGTTGGGGGCCTTTCTTTAATATTTGACATTTTGTGTTATATGACAACACATTTAGCTAAAGTTTATTTTTTCCTGCACGGCCAATGCAAAGTCATCCTGCAAAAGCTTAACTTGTATCTATATAGCCTATATGTTACAATAAGTAAATCCCCATTGTTCTTTGGGGGGAGAGATCTTTCCCCATCATAGGCCTACTTACCCCTAACACGTCGTGTTGTCTATTTCTAATAGGAAAACGTTTAATTAGTATGCCAATACACAGCATATTTGTGACGTTGTCTTCATACTGATCACGTGCTGAAAGCATGAATAAACAAGTTTGGTAGGTTTTTGTTGATCTTGCCTGGAAAGTCAGGTCTGTTTGCTGATTTTAGAGGGGTTTTCGGCACTTTTCGGCTTGCTGGCCTGGAGATTTGGGAAACCAGCTTACAGAAGCAAGCTATCTCAAGCTACTTATAATAAACATTGTTTGTTAGTTTACTGAGAAGGGCGGAAAGTTGAGCATCAGCCTACGTGAATAGTAAAGGAAGATTTACTGAAAGTGAAACTGATTTGCAAGACCGAAAATTTCATAGAGGCTACTCTGTAAGTAGGCTGCATCATATTTATATGAACACATTTACAAGTGTTACCATTCTTTCATGACCAACATATTTTCACTGCATATTTACATGTTTTTAATGTGAAAACCACTTAGTTTTGATTTCTGCAAATAAAAAAATGGATGATCTCATGTTTGCTTGCCTTTCTTTAGGCTACTCACAGGTCTCAAGTTTGTCTGCTCTTAAAGGACATCACAATGAATCTAAACGAACCACTTGATTTTAAAAGGTGCACAAAATTCTGTATTTTTGACTTTTTATCACATGTGTTTTGAAACGAAGAATCTTTGATGTGTTTAGCTCATATTTATCTATGGTAAAGAATTGATTACAAATCATACTGTGTTGATTTCAAGCCAACCCAAAAGAAAAAGATCAGAGACCGAACGAACTGCCAAAAAACATGCCAAAAATAAAAGGTAAAAAACGTAAGGTAAACCTTTCCATTTATGTGTAAAGAAAGCTATATTTGCTGAAATAGAGGAGGCTATTGACATTACAGTTTAGTAAAATGTATAAAAATGAACATTTATATCACACTGAGTTATGTTTGACATTCTCACCCTTTAGACAAAAGTCAAAGAGAGCAGCTTCTCCTACATCCAGTTATCTGTCAATGAGGACTGACTATTCAATGGATCCACCAACCAACTTTAAAAGTGGAGAGACATTTCCTTTGCATTCAAGGTGATTTTTACTTAAATACAAAAATGGAAGCAGATTTGACTCCATTATGGTTCCAATAATATGCAAAATATTAAAATAACAAGAATCTAAAACGATAATTTTAAAAATAATTACATTCTTTCTCATGAATTTGTATTATAAGACAAAACAGCAATTTCTAATCGAACACAATGCCATGCACCAACACTATTCTTAAAATGACAGGATTAAGAGAGAACGAGAGACTTCCCCAGTCACTGGTTGTATTTCACTGAGAAGTGACAACCCAGTGAACGCTTCAAAAGGCATTGCATCTGACTTGAGGTAGGAAATTTGTCATATTTGTAATAATACGTAATAAAATGTAATAAAAAGAAATAAGTATAGCCTAAATGACACTGTTTTCTTAAAGTGTAAAAGCAGCTTGGTCAATAGATCCACCAACCAACCTCAAAGCTGCAGAAACTTTCCCATTGGATCCAAGGTGAGAAGTTATTCATTTGTTATTTGTTCAAATAAATAAGATTTAAAAACTCCGCATTAAAAAGTTAGTTCACATCATTTACGCACCTTCATGCCATCCTATATGTATATGAGTTTCTTTCTTTAAATAAACAAAGATTTTTAGTAAAATAATTGATCTCTGTGAGTCGATGCAAGTGAATTTGTGCCGCTCGGTTGACGCTTGCAAAACCAAACCACACACACCATTCGTGACTGTGATCCTTATGAACTCAGTGGATGGTGTGATATCCTTACGTTAATAATCCACTAGGTGGCACTCAAGCGCCTTAGCTGAGAGATATGTGCTGTAGTAAAAGAGTGAAGAAGGAGAGTGAACACTGTGCTTGTGCTTACATGTGCTTGCATGTTATTCTGCTTGTACATCAGTTATTAAAAAGTTTATTGAGAGAATTCTACTAGCTTGTGCTTCTTGTCATGAAGACATAACAAAATTGGCGACGAGGACGATTTATTCTCACAAGATTTCCTGAGGATGGCATCAGTTAGTGCACCGTTTCCCAGTCCATTTTTGCCTTGTCCCGGTGAGCCTGCTATACCACTTGTAACATGGCTGAGGATGTTTGAGAATTACATGCTAGTCATCAATGCTACTGGAGATTCCTGGCCAGAAGCCAGAAAACGGGCTTTACTTCTTCATTGCCTCGGAACTGAAGGTCAGAGACTATTTTATACATTGCCTGATACCGGTGACAATCTTGCATCTGCTGTTAAAGCTTTGAAGGAGCATTTCATTCCAAAACGAAATGTGGTCGTGGAAAGACATGCCTTCAGGAAACGAGTGCAGAGGACAGATGAAACGGTACTGCAATATATTGCTGCATTGAGAGATTTGGCAACTACATGTGAATTTGATGACAGTCTTGATGATATGCTGCGTGACCAGCTGGTAGAGAATATTGCTAACCCTCGCATTCGGGAAAGATTATTAATGGAATCTAAATTGACACTAGAGACTGCAATTACAATTTCCACGCAGCTAGAGGCCGCTGATGCACAGGCAAAATCGATGACTACAAGTACTTCTGCTCCAGTACAAGCCATACATGCAACCTCTGTGTCTGAACGACAGCATTCAAAGGCCAAATTCAAAACACGTACCTCATCAAAACCTCATACTGCTTCTTCAGCTCGGACATGCTTTCGCTGTGGGTCCACTGGACATCTTGCAAACGCACAGAACTGCCCTGCTGCATCTGCTAAATGTAAAAATTGTAATAAGACTGGACATTTTGCACGTGTCTGCCGTTCTGCTCCTACTCGTTCAGTGCATTCAGTTGAATTACCAGAGGTTTGTGTTCTCCATCTACCTGGAACATCTGATCGCTTGATGTGTGATGTAACTATAAATGCTATGTGTGCTGTTACACCTGTGTCTCTTCAACTCACAGTCGACTCTGGTTCATCAGTGTCCATTCTGCCGAAACAATTGTATGAGCAGCACTTTCGCACTGTGCCATTACAAGCACCATCTGCCCGTTTAGTCACTTACTTGCAAGAACCAATTTCAGTGCTTGGATGTTTACCTGCAACAGTGTCTAAATATGGCATTACCTGCCCTGCACATTTCTTCATTGTTGACAATGGCACAGCCTTGTTAGGCATGGACCTGATTAAGGGACTCCAGCTTCGATTTGACGGAAACACTGTGCTGCCGCCACCACAATCCGCTTCAGTTTGTGCCCTCTCCACTCCTCCGTCACAGCGTACTGCATTGGGCTGTGTAAAAAACTTTACACACAAGGTAAACATTTCTGACTCTGTTCCTCCTGTCAGACACAAATTGCGTCGCTTACCTTTTTCTGTCAGAGATGCTGTTTCCGCCGAACTGGAACGACTCTTGCATGCTGGTGTAATTGAAAGAATTGACTCCTCTCCATGGGTTTCACCAATTGTTGTGGTCCAAAAGAAAACAGGGGGCATCCGCATGTGTGTGGATCTGCGAGGGCCCAACAAGGCAGTTATAGTAGACAGCTACCCATTGCCACACATGGAGGAGATGATGACATTACTGCAAGGTGCAACTGTATTTTCAACTATCGACTTAGAAAGTGCATATCATCAGGTACCTCTTCATGACGACAGCCGGGACCTAACCGCATTCATTACGCACGAGGGCCTCTTCAGGTTCCGCAGGGTACCTTATGGTTTGGCATCCGCTCCATCTGCATTCCAAAAGATGATGGTTGTCATTCTAAAAGGACTCCAGAACGTTGCGAACTATCTAGATGACATCATCGTGTGGGGACGCTCACTACAGGAGCATGATCAAGCACTAGAGAATGTGCTGCAACGTCTCAAAGATGCTGGGTTGGTGTTGAATGAGTCTAAATGTCAATTCAGAAAAAAGAGCTTGAAGTTTTTAGGACATATGGTGACATCACAGGGTATTCAGCTGGATCAGGAACATCTCTCTGCAATAATCAATGCACCTGCGCCATCAGATGCTGTTCAGTTACGTTCCCTGCTGGGTCTTCTCTCATGGTACAACAAGTTCATTCCTAATTTCGCTTCCGTAGTGATGCCTCTGCGTGCTTGCCTGAGAGATGAGAGTGGATTTCATTGGTCCGATGAAGCTCAACAAAGCTTAGCTGAAGTCAAAAAGCTTCTTGTAAACAGTCCTGCTCTTGCACTGTTTGACCCGGGGCTGCCAGTGGTCATTTCTACTGATGCGTCTGCCTACGGACTAGGTGGTGTCTTTGCACAAATAAGCACTGATGGTCAAGAACGTACTGTCGCTTTTGCATCCAGAACACTCACCCCAGCTGAACAAAAATACTCCACTGTCGAAAAGGAGGCTCTGGCATGCGTTTGGGCAGTGGAGAAGTGGCGGACATACCTGTGGGGTCGCAAATTTACTCTGCGGACTGACCATCAAGCCTTGACGACGTTACTGACCACAAAAGGGACTGATAGAGCTGGCATGCGCATAGCTCGGTGGGCTGCTCGGTTGCTCTGTTTTAATTACACTGTTGAGTATCGTGCTGGATCTCAAAATTACACTGCAGACTGTTTGTCCCGCCTGCCCTTGCCTCTGACTTCGGATGCTGAGCCAGATACAGAGCCCGAATTTGTTGCTTTCCTGTCCACTGGTCCGACTGCCATATCTCAGGATGAATTTGCTGCTGCCTCTGCTAGTTGTTCGGAACTCTCTGCACTTCGCACACAAATTACCCGTGGATGGCCTCCATCTTCTGCTGCTCTGGATCCTGTTCTACGCCCATATTACAAACTGAGACATGAGTTCAGTGTGCAAGCTGATTTTGTGTTTAGAGGGTCTAGACTAGGGATGTCCCGATCCGATCCACGGCATCGGTATCGCGCCGATACCGGCCCAGAACGCTAGATCGGAGATCGGAGGGGAGAAAAAAATATGAGCGATATCCAGTTTAGCGGCGCAGCCTGTCACGTGATGATTGTTGTGTTTAAGCACACGCGCGCAGAGAATCACTCTCGCTTTTGCGCACGGATTCTAATGTAATCGGATGATTCCACAAAAGCTGCATTTCAGTCTTTTCAGAAATTCATTGGCTATCAGAAAATAGCGTCATTTCATTCTCTATTGCAACTGGATAGATAAACTGTCACTCAAAGAGAGAGCGAAACTGGCGCGCGTAAAGTTTGAAGCGAAATTTACGCGCGTGACGCGCGTCAGAATCAAAATCCGTTGGCGGTCATTGTTTTTATGTCGACCGAGCATTCATCAAGAGAGTTACCTCTCTGTATTTACTCTGGATAGCAGAACAGCGGCGTGGGGATCATCGTCGCCGTATATTTGTGTCCACCGGACCCTTCGGAGCCGAACCGTTTGGCGAGTTTCACCATTTGCTCGCTCCAGGAGCTGCGCTGGATGACGGCCGCTGTCAGCGGTACTTCCGCCTGTCACGCGCCCAGTTTGATGACCTGTTGTCCCGCATCTGAGCGAGGATCACCCTCGCCCGGCCCCTCATCCATCTAATCTAGCTGTCATTTATTTTTGTTTTGATAATAAATAGAGCCAGCCTTCAAAAGTTATTAACCTGTCCTGTGATTTTTTTCTCTCTCTCACGTCCAGACACGAATGTATGCACATATGTTGATATATATATATATATAGCGCGCTATGTATGTTATGCGCGCAGTATGTCTCGCTCTAGATTCCGGGAGATTTGAACTAATTTGCGGGCATCAGGGAGACGCTATCAATATGCGGGAGACTCCCGGAACTTCCGGGAGACTTGGGATGTCTGTCTTTACAACATAATACTATTTCTAGATATGGAATGAATAACATTCAATACAAAATGAACATGTCTTCATATAGAAATAATGTTTTAAGTGATGAAACATTTGCTTTGTTGTGCATAATCCCACCATGCATTTAGTCATATTAACAAAATAATTTATTGAAGCATCCAGACACTTCACCACGTGAGCAAGCAGCTAGGCTCCTGATTGGTTAACGCGGCGCGAATTCACGCCAAAGTTCAGATTTTTCAACTCGGGCGGCAGACGCGAATTCGCGTCAAACGCGTGAATGCACAACGCTCAATTCGCGCCATTCGCGCCAACTTGACGCGCGAATGAGGCGTATTCGCGTCTTCCGCGCCGCGCTCCACGCCTCATTCGCGCCGCAGGAATTTTTCTTGCATTGACTTACTTGAAATCATTCGCGCCTGACGCCCTATTCGCGTCCGGTGTGAACGTAGCATTAGTGCGATGCTACTATTTACATTCCATGGATGTTTATTCATATATACAATTGTTTTGGACTAAAAACTTCTTCAAATTGGATTGTATGGACGCTTTACAGTGAAACCAAACCATTTATGTTGGAATGTGGACTAACAGATGGCTAATTGGTGAGTTTCTTCCAGTTTGTGTTGGTTTGTTTTGGCTGTTGGTGGTCTGACAAAGAGACAGATTGTGCCCGCTGTGTTGATTGTATCTTAAAATGGTTTACGTCGTTCGAATCACGAGTTTCTCAGCTTTCCAAAGATATGTATTATGTTTACTTTTGTGTTTGTTTTGTTTTGTCTTTCACAAAGTTAAACCTATAAACCACCCTGTGGGCCGTATACGGCACGTCGGACCACGAAAAAAAAAATATCGGACTAATATCGGTATCGGCAAAAGCCAAAGGTGCGGCATCGGTATCGGTATCGGAAGTGAAAAAGTGGTATCGGGACATCCCTAGTCTAGACTGGTGGTACCTGGAGAACTTCGTGAGTCACTGATTCGCATTGCACATGAAGGCCACCAGGGGATTGTAAGAACAAAGCAACGCCTGCGTGACATGTATTGGTGGCCCAGAATGGACACACTTGTGGAACAAAAGATTACCGCTTGTCAGTTATGTCTTTCCCTGGACAAAACTGCGAAAACCTCTGCTGTGCCCCTCCAGCCTGTTCCGTTACCATCTGCACCTTGGGAAAAGCTGGGAATAGACATTGTGGGTCCTTTCGAGACTGCTGTCTGGGACTGTCGATACGCTCTGACACTCACTGACTACTATAGTAAATGGCCTGAGGTAGCCTTTACTGCATCTATTGCAACAAAACAGGTGACTGCTTTTCTTACCTCCGTCTTCAGCAGACATGGGAACCCGACCACTCTGGTGAGTGATAATGGGCCTCAGTTTACTTCGCCAGAGTTCGCGGCTTTCCTGAAAAACAGAGATATTAAGCACATTCGCACATCAGTGTATCATCCGGCTGCGAATGGAGCTATTGAACGCTTCCACAGAGTTCTGAAAAGTACAATTCAATCAGCAATCCTACAATCAGCACCATGGAAAGAAACAGTAACTGACTTCCTGCAAATCTATCGTGCTACACCTCATGCTGTGACAGGTGTTTCCCCCTTTGAATTGCTTCATGGGAGGAAAATGCGTACTCGCCTCAATGTTCTGAAACCCTCACCTTCTGGCCGTGAATCTAAAGAGCTGCAGAAACGTGTTTCAGCACGTCAGGATGTCATGAAATCTCGTTTCGATAACAAGCATCGAGTGCATCATTCTTCTTTCCGAAAAGGGGATAAAGTGCGTATAAAAAAGTCAGTGCATGTACCAAAAGGACACCCACGATTCACTCCTCCAGTTGAGGTTAGAGAAAAAGTTGGTCCTTACACCTACCTCTTGGATGATGGAAAGAAGTGGCATGCATCGTGTCTTGCATCTGTGCCGACTAATGCAACAGATAATAGACTGACCACAAATGCAGGAAACCTGATTCCTTCTCAAGTTCCACTGTCTGGAAACTCAGTGTCTTCTGATGCTTGTTCACGTGGGACACGTCAAAGACGTGAGCCAGGTTGGCTAAAGGACTATGTTTATTAGTCTCAGAAATTGACATGGACTTTTGCACACATTACACACGCATAAATAATCAAGGACTGAATTGCAGTTGAGTAGTCTTGTTCACATTGTTTAAATGCACCTTTGTATTCATGTAATGTGTTGCTTAGTGTATTCTTATACTTGTGAAATTGTTGATACATTACGGGTTGGATTTTCTTTGTTTATATTTCATGTCAATTGTTGGCTACAGGAAGAATTCATTTAACTAAGAAGGGAAAATGTGATATCCTTACGTTAATAATCCACTAGGTGGCACTCAAGCGCCTTAGCTGAGAGATATGTGCTGTAGTAAAAGAGTGAAGAAGGAGAGTGAACACTGTGCTTGTGCTTACATGTGCTTGCATGTTATTCTGCTTGTACATCAGTTATTAAAAAGTTTATTGAGAGAATTCTACTAGCTTGTGCTTCTTGTCATGAAGACATAACAGATGGATCAGTGTCTTCTAAAGATAAGGTGTGTTTAAGAAAAAATACTAATATTTTAAAATCTTTTCCCACCATTGACGAGATTTTCCATAATGACACGCCGCTTTCCCGCCATTGACACATTTTTTCTGACAGAATTCTGACCCCCGTGATGTTACAGATCTTCTTAAAGAGAACAACATCTCTGATGAATTAACTTCTCTCCTGAGCTTTACAAGACACTTACTTCAGGTCTCACAATGTTCCTATAAAAAAATTTTTGGGAACCAAACAAGAACATTATTGGAACGTTCCATGTAGGTTATTTTTAGGTTCCATTTTTATAACGTAAGGAAAATGATCCGGGAACGTTCCCTTAACCTTAAAGGAAAATTCTAGGAACGTTCTGGGAACCTAAAACTAACGTTCCCAGAACCTGTATTTGTTTGCTGGGTACCCAATCCCTATAAACCTAACCATAACTTTTCCCTAAAATCAGAGGGCAATGAAAGGTGAATGACTGATATGTAAGCACTTCACCCTGGTTCTAAGCCTAAACTTGACATAAACTGTGAACTTGTCCCTCAAATCTGGTTGATTGGAAAGTTGATCCAGGATCAACAGCGATGTTCATCAACGATCAACGACGTCGTTCACTGTGGTCTTATATAACGTCAACCAAGTGGCACACATTCAATGGAATTATATGAACTATATTTTGGAAACAGTTTTGTTTGTGTTTATTTGATGAAGAAAGTCATATACATCAGGGATGGCATTGTTTGAGTAAATGATGAGAGAAATACAAATATTCTGTGAACTATGACTTTAAGCAATGTGACAGTAGAGTTTCATTTAGAGAATTAATTTAATTTTATGACTTCCAGATTTCTGACAGAGCAAGACTTAATGTGTCGAGTTTGCAAATCGATGTTGAAGGACCCAGTGTCCATGCCCTGTGGACACAATTACTGCAACGCTTGTATTAATGCATTCTGGGACAATTGTGCAGGAGAATATGGTTGTCCACACTGTGGTAAAGCATCAGAAACACGGCCAGTGCTGAGCATAAATGCAGATCTGGCTGAAGTGGTTAAATACAAGCAGCAGACAGGCTTCAGTCCAGCCCTTCCACAACAATCGTATGCCGGACCAGAGGATGTGGCCTGTGATTTCTGCTTTGGGCGCAAATTGAAATCGGTGAAGTCTTGTTTGACTTGTGACGTGGTCCTATGTGAGACTCATGTCAGGGAACATTACACGGTACCAGCACTAGAGAAACACACACTGGTTGACGTGATTAAGACGAGACCCTCGGAGCAGAGTCAGAACTCAGACAACAGCTTCAGTTGCACTGCCGGCGGACAACAGCCTCATGCAGATATAAAGGTTTGGTATCCTAATGAAATTATTATTTTGAAATCAATAATGCATACTTCATTAAAGTTGTCATGAAATGGAATTTGTGATCTGTATAGTGATATAGTGTATAGACCATTTCACAAGATGTAAACAACACTGGTCCAGAAGCACTTCCTGTTTCAGTTTTTTAACACTACATAAAAGCTGGGATAAAATACAACCAACAGAACATTTAAAACTGAATCAAAAAGTTAAACAAACATCTTTAAGATGTTTTCTTTACATGTGAAATAAAGAAAATAGTTACAAACTGAAACAGGAAGTGCTTGTGAAATGGTCTATAGTGAAATATATATATGGTTCGATTTTGTTTCGGAAAAAAAGCACATGGATTCTGATATTCTCAGATCAGTTTCAGGCCTTGTTTACGTGGAAACAAATTTGAAATTAATTGGATACGTGCATGCACCATAATGCGGACAGATCGGATATTCCTTTGTCAATTCGAGTTGTACATCTTTGGAAAAAAAAAAAATATATATATATATATATATATATATATATATATATATATGAAGAGTTCAGATGCAAAAGCCTCTAAATGCCATTTGAAATTTTCTTCTTTAATGATGATTTTTATCAAACTAGTATATTTAAGTTCAGTAATTTCACTTAAATAACAATTAATAGGTAATTATCATTGCCATTTAAGTGAAATCACTGAACTTAAATATACAAGCTTGATAAAAATGATCATTCTAGAAGAAAATTTCAAATGGCATTTAGAGGCTTTTGCATCTGAACTCTTCATATATATATATATATATATATATATATATATATATATATATGCTGCGTTCCAGGCAGGTTTTTGAGCACGTAAATCACGACTTCAAACCACGACTTACGACTTTGTAGCATTCCACAGGTGGGAAGTTCACGGGCAGTAGTTTCATGCTTGTTGACCTAGTTTCTTCGTGTGCCATTTAGCCTAATTAAGTTCACCTGTTATTCATTCCAATGATTGGTTTGGCCCATCTATTTAAAGGAGTAGTTCACTTTTAAAAAACATTTTTGCTGATAATTTACTCACCCCCATGTCATCCAAGATATCCATGTCATTCTTTCTTCAGTCGAAAAGAAATTAAGGTTTTTGGATGAAAACATTCCAGCATTTTTCTCCATATAATGGACTTCAATGGGAACCAAACGGTTCAAGGTCCAAAAGACAGTTTCAGTGCAAACTGTTCAAAGGGCTTTAAACGATTCCAGACGATGAATAAGGGTCTTATCAAGAGAAACGACTCTCCTGTTCAAACTCATTCATCAAAATGAACGAATCTTTTCCCGTTCATTTCGTTTGTTGAATAAACTAAATGACACGAAAAAAGAGCCGTTCATTTTGATAAACGAGTTCGAACAGGAGAGTCACGGACATGCATCACAGAAAAGAGCAATACAAGGCGACCATTTGAGCTTACAATTTTTTTTTATTTTTATGAGTGATCGTTTCGCTTGATAAGACCCTTATTCATCGTCTGGAATTGTTTAAAGCCCTTTGAACGGTTTGCAGTTTGCACTGAAACTGTCTTTTGGACCTTGAACCGTTTGGTTACCGTACCCGTCCTCACTCCAGTAAATGCATCATCAGAGAAGACAATAGATGTAGCTGAAAGAGGGAGGGGAATTTATTTTGATTCAAATTTACGAGAACACATAATGTACACGCATAAATACTGCAAATAATTGTCAAATTTGATTTCATTGTCATTTTAATTTGCTTGGTGTATTTTCTTTTTGTAGGAGATGGCAGTCGCTGCCAAGCTTCAGACACGTCTAAAAAGATCTGCAAAAACCTTCAGACCTAAAACAAAAGAAAAAAAAGATCATGTTAAAAAAATTGCACTTATGTGCTCCACACTACAGCAAGAGGTTTCAGGACTCAAAGAAAAACTCTCAAAGTTAGAGAAGAAGAATACAAAGAAAGAATATGAGGATGAAGAGGAATATGATGATGAGGAGGACGACTTTGGAGAGGAAGAAGATGATGATGATGAGGAGGAGGAGGAGGAGGAGGAGGATTATGGAGATTATGATGAGGATGGTGATGACAACGAGGACTATAGTGAGAAAGATTTTGATGCAGAGACTTATGAAGAAGAGGAGGATGATGAAGATGAGTTAGATAGTTTAGATGATGAGGACGAAAACAAAGAAGATTGGGAGGAAGATGATTGGGAAGAGAATGAAGACATGGAAGACTATGATGATGAGGACAGTTCTGAGAAAGATAGCGATGAGGATTATGATGACCCATACTATTAATCATCTCTGCTTACAGTGACAATTGTTTTTATTAATACATATCTTTCTGCAAAGACATTTCAAAGCATTTTGTGGGAAATAATTACAGTTAAAACAGCCATTACTTTTAAAAGTGCTGCGTGTGTTACTTCTTATGAAACTAACTAATTGCGTTAGTTACTTTTTAATTACTTTTTGTTACTGGGGGCATGTTTGTTTGTTTGTTTTTATAACAAAAAAACAAAAGTTATATTTTTTGTAAAAAAAGTTAAAATGTATCAAATACAATGCATCAGGCTTTTGAGGAACATTTGTACATCTCTCAGTTATCATTGTATTGCAGTGCATGTTTTGCCCCCACAATAAAAAATATAAAGAACATTTGAAATATCATACATAAGTCATATTATTAGAAGATATGTGACAACTGATTTTTATATAGAAGAGTTCAGATGCAAAAGCCTCTAAATGCCATTTGAAATTTTCTTCTTTAATGATGATTTTTATCAAACTTGTATATTTAAGTTCAGTAATTTCACTTAAATAACAATTAATAGGTAATTATCATTGCCATTGAAGTGAAATCACTGAACTTAAATATACAAGCTTGATAAAAATTATCATTCTAGAAGAAAATTTCAAATGACACTTAGAGGCTTTTGCATCTGAACTCTTCAAATGTAGTCTGCAATACTGTTGTAAATATCTAATTGATTTACATTTCAAGCTTTCAGACTTTTTTTTAGCCAACTGCACCAGAATTGCATATTTATGCTCATATTCGACTTCTAAAATTACGAGCTATGTTTTCATCTATATCATACTATATATGAGCCACAAAAGCCTGGAGTATCAAATATGATATCCAACAAAAAACTTTTTTTTATTGTCTAAAGGTTCAATAAACCCTTCCACTAAAATCAATAACTATTATTTCATGGGTCAGGTTATGACATGGTTAAAACTGTATGTACTATTTTTGTACAAACGTATATTCTGCAAAAAAAAAAAAAAAATCTTCTGTTTTAAGAATTGTGCTGTTTTAAGACAAAGTTTTAAAATCGGTGTGTTGGAAAATAATTATTCAACAATAATTATTGTACGTCACACGTAGACTCACTAATGGCCGATGATGGTCATGTGTAATGCGTGTGACGTACAACCTCAATGCTTTTTTTTTATTATTGAAAAATCAAGATTTACAAACAAACATGGCTGCATAACGTCATTTTCTTATATAGAATACAAAGAAAATATAGCCAGAGGGAGCAGCTCTTAATACAGCAAGAAAATAAATGTAGTTTAAGAACAAAAATAAGGATAGGCTATTTGTAAGGAAAATAAACATAAAAATGGTAAGGAATTATGATATAACATACATAACATAAGGGGTGAACACAGTCTTTGTTCATCCATTTATCTCAGTTGGGAAGAGTTTTAGGGAATCATATATTTTTTGTTCCTTAGGACCTTTCAAAGTTTTTAAGGATTTTATATACAGTTTAAATTCATAAAAAATTTTGGAGATGATTTCACAATTCTACACTTGTGAATGAAGAATTTGGCTAGACATACACTTGTATTAATACACAGCTCATCAGCCTTGCTTTGCAATATCAATCCAAATGTAACATTGTCTTGTACAACCTCTATGAAGCGCTGAGAAGCACTGGTTGTACGCAAATACACAAAAAGTATTCTCGTTGCTTCATAAATCTAAGACTGAGCCACTGTAGTCAATTGCAATATTTTATATTTTTTATAATAATAGATTACCACAGGGTAATCCTGCACACACAACCGGAGGCTGCAGTTTCAGGACCACATTTAGCTCCATTACAGCAGGGGGCAGTAAAGCACCTCATGCTTGACGCTGCAACCTGAGCGTTGGGTTTCAACTACACGTGAAATGTAAAGTACATGGAAATGAACGAAAACGAAAGCTTATGTTCTGTGGATTCTGAAAGTTGACGAATCGTTCATGAACGACACATCCCTACTCTGAATGCGTGACGTTAAAGTGGAGAATTGCACGTTGTATGTGTCACTTTTTAAGTATTTCTCCCGATGCTGCACCACTGTGTACTTTAATGTTCCTGCGTTTTTTGCGCGTCATGTCACCCAGTCTAAACTAATACTAAACTAATGCTTGACGTCTCAACTGCGTAGTTTCATAGCTACAAACTGATGTTTTATTCATTATAACTGATATACTTTGAGGATGTCTGAAAGCAGCAGCAGTGAGGATGAAAACTCTGCAAGACTGAAAGAAGCTGTCTGGAGCTTTGGACCACAGGATACCAAGATCAATGAAAAAGGTAACGTGATTTATTATTAATAGAGGTCTTTAGTTTTCCGAGTTGTATGTATTTAATAATATGATATGAAGTTACTTCTTATCAATCAAGCGTCAACATGTATATCTGAGGACTAACGCAGTGCTGCCATTATCCCACACAGATGGAGAAAACAAAAGTCGTAGGTGAGTCAGTATGCATTTAAAAAGCTTTGAGATTGGATTTCAGTGGTTATTTTGTCATGAGTTTGGATAACTTTGTTACACAGAGTCGATGTTTCAAAGCATGAACATGATGGCAATGAGCTCGGGACAACACCTGAGTTTCAATCCCATGTGGCAAAAAAATTAGGAGCCATGTTAGACGGGTGAGACACTACTAAAAGTATTATTTTTCACTTTCAACTTATGAGTATATGTGTCATTATCTTTTATTTCTCTGCTGGTCAATCAGTACAATTTCTCTCCCTCACTCTTTTACAAACACACTTAACTGTAGGTGCATTTCAGAAGTGTTTGCTAAAACAGTGGACTCAGAACCTCAGTCCAAAAACAGAGATGAAGAAGGTAAGCCAACTCCTCAATTGCCAATAGAGATCTTATAGTTCAGGTTTTTCTTGAGGTGCGTCAAGAAAAAGAATAAAAAATCTTAAGAGTTACTACAGTAAATGTACATTAACACAAAGTTACATATATACATTTACATATCCACAAATCTGAATTTCAAATAGCTGACTGTTTCATGTCATTTTCTAAAGGTTTCCGTCTGTTCTCCACATCTACCTCTGGAAAATGGATGGAACAATCGCCACCTCCACCTCCTAAAAGGAGACCAATTCCCAGCTCTAGGTGAGTCTGAGTCTGATGATTGGGTGATCAGTCATGACATGTCCTTCCCTGATTCGTCAGCCACCATTTACACTGGCACGCGCATGCCCAGTGTTGGTGAATCGTCACGTGATCCGCGTTTTCAGTCGCTTTAATGTGGATGGAGATCAATTCTAATACGCAGATAAAACGCTGGTGTTGACGGAGTTAGTATTCGTTTTAATTCTCAGTTTTTAAACGAAAACACAGTACTGTGGACAGGGCCTGAGACACTTCAGATGTGTTGTGTACCATTATAGTTTTGAATTGCTTGAAACATGATTGAAATCACTTCAAAAAAGGAAAAAGCACCTGGATAGTTCACCTAAAAATGAAAATTTTGTCTTTTACTCGCCCTCAAGTTGTTCCAAACCTGTGAATGTCGGACTCGGTAGCCATTGACTTTCATAGTAGGAAAAAAAATACTATGGAAGTCAATGGCTACAATCAACTGTGGTTACCAACATTCTTCAAAATATCACTTTTCTTTTTTTTTATCAATTTTTTTGTTCAACAGAAGAAAGAAACTCATACAGGAACAATATAAGGGCGAGTAAATTATAACATAATTTTCATTTTTGGGTTAACCTTAATTTAATTTTCCCGCTAACAAAGTGTTTCAGTTTATGCATATTAATTTATGGGCACCAGTACTGTTATTTAATTGCTGTTATTTATTTTTTTATTTTCAAAAAACATTGATGCATTATTAATAATACCTAGCAATTATTTTTTCTTGTTCTATTTTCATTAACAACATGGTTTAGTTAAATTCATTAATTTTTTTGTCTGTGTGGAGTGCATTTTATTTCCCCATGGCATATGCATTTTGGTTCTTTATACTTATTATCCAATGATTTTTTTGCATTTTTTAGGTATTATTTTATTTCTTTGTAAGGCTATAGATTTTTTTTATTTTTTTTATAAGAAAATAAGAGACTTGAACAGGAGTGTAAAATTATTTTTTAAAGTTAAGGGCTCTTACACACTTTTTCAAACTATGTCTGATATATGTGTATATGTAGTGCTTGGGACATGGCTTTTAATGGTGAGCCTTTTGTTTTTGTAATCAGGTTCTCAAAAAAAAAAAAAAATTTGGATTTATAGGCCAATATATAGGTTCTCTGCTTTCAAAGATAGAGTTATCGGTGCATCCCTATTGGAAACACACATGAAGATATTTTTAATGAAATCTGAGATATTTCTGTCCTACCATTGTAAATCTATTCACTTTAACATTTTTAATTAATCCAGATGAATCAAGCAGACAAAATGTCTTTTAAATGTCATTATTTTATGATCTCATTTTGATAATAGATTTTCAAGGGACAGAAATCTCTCAATTTCATTAAAATATCTTCATTTGTGTTTCCAAGATGAAAGAAAGTCAAATGGGTTTTGAATGATATGAGGTCGAGTAATTGGTGACAATTACATTTTTTTTTGTTTGATCGATCTTACACTTCAAGACAAGTCATTGTCCAACAATATTATCACAGTAAATGAGGGAGAATATGCTTAATTGTCATAAATGTCACAATGCACATAATAGAAAAATAGGTTTTCATTGCCATTTCAATGTGCCCGTTCTGTCTATCTGTCTTTCTATCTCTCTGTCTGTCTTTAATAATTAAACAGCTAGTAAGTTTATAATAAATTTTGCATTAATGGCAATCTATGTTATGTAAAAACTATCTTGTTCCTTTATTTCTACAGTGACAGTGACAGTGAGATGGAGATGAGGCTCAGAGAAGCTGCTGTGTCTGTGTCAGACATCCTCGGCCCTTTAGCCCAAACCCTCACAGAGAAGACAGAGGGGAAAAGTACGACAAACGTGCAGTCTGGGGAGGACGACACAGTCGCAAAGAAGACAAAGAAAAAGAAGAAAAGAAAAACATTCACTGAGGGAAGTGAGGAGAAAAGTATTCATGTATCAGAAAAACAGTCGAACGGAAAAGGAACAGAAGCGCAAACAAGTGTGGTAGAGAATTTGACAAAGAAAAAAAAGAAAAAGAAACAAAAAAAGTTGGATTCATCAAAGGGCGATGATGAATGAAAGACTTTTTATTATTCTGTTTATGCTGTTCTAGGTGTTTGTATGTAGTTATATGTTCATTGAGGATGAACAGTTCCTGCGAAGTTAGAAGAACCCGTTGCTTGCCAGTTTAGCATTTTCATGCTATAAATCCCTCCCAAAAAATCATCAATAAAGTAAAGTTGCAATTTTACTACAAAATATTTTTCTAAAGTCTAGTCTAGCAAATCGAAATCTAGAACAGTTACATTTTATTGTACATGCATTTTTATTAGTCACACATTTGAATCCTGAAACTAATTATAGTTGTGAAATGAAAACTTGACTGTCCTTTTATTGAGCATAATTTAAGGATTTATGAAGAAACATCATCATTAGCATGGGTAGGCAGCAGATAGCAATATAGCAGGACAGATGTGTATATGTTTTAGTTTTTCATTGTTGTCTGTTTGCTCTCAGCAGCTTTTGGAAGTGGTATTGTCATCAGTAGCTGCAGCTATTGCGCAGTAGAGACCATCTGTGTAGGGATGTAAGGGTCGATGTCCCCTGGTGAAGACGAAAGCAGGTGTGTAGGATGGGTTTCACTTGTCTGGGTCTGAGAGTAGAGCTCCAAACTATCTGAAGACACTGGAAATTTAAAGGTGAAGTGAGTGAGATTGATTAATGTTAATGTTACATTCTCTTAATCCAATTTATGTACATTGACTACTATTAGTATGCCATTAATGGGTGTATCTCTCCCAAAAGTGTAAACATTAAGCCTACTGGACAGCGTCTAAACATCCTGTTCACACACACTCCGTTTGCAGTGTATATTTTAGTACGTATGCGGTGCACGTGCTTATCCGCGGCTTTAGACGGAATAAATATAAGCAACGCAATATTCGATTCGTTGTTTCTATATAGAATTATAGGCCTACAGTATATTAAGAATGCTCAAGCAAGTGGCTAAACATTTAAACACGATACTACTTGCGTAAAATGTTAGTAGTCACAAATAGTTTAAACTAACTTACCATCCACACCAACTGCCGAAGAAATTGTCTCCCATGCCTTTTTCTTTCGTGTTTAAAACTTTATTTGATAAGTCCTGCTGGTCATACAACACGTGTTTTTCCACCTCACTGTTTAGACGATCGTCATCCATTGTAGCTTTCTTGTTCCGAGTGTAGTTCGCTGACCACCAGCATGTCACATAATTGCATGGTGCGTTCTAGTGCATCTCACATTAGAAAAAGTACTTTAGATGTCATTTTTACCACATTAGTTATTTTTGCAACTCCTGGTCAGTCTAAGGAAGCTGGTTTCTGCTACAGAATAATAGATGTTTAATTGTATGCAAGTTTACATCTAAAATTAAAGAAATATAACCAGAATTGCGAGAAACTCCGCTATAACATGCAATTTACTGACTTTATTTCTCGCAATTGTGAGTTCTGATCTGAATTGTCAGAATTGTGTCAAGTTGCGTTTTTTTTTTAATTCTTATTTCGTGGCGGAAACAAGCTGCCATAGTTTTGCTTTTCTTTACTGTGAAAAAAAATGGTATACTTAAATAATTTGCATTTATGGTAAAATTGCTATATTTTCATGTCGACTTGTGTTCATTTTGCCCATGAATTGCGTGACTAGATGCAAACTATCTCTGCACTGGCCGCGCCACTGTGCAGTGTGAATGCTTGGGCCTGTTTCGTGGGAAAATACACACTGCAAAAGGGAGTATGTGTGAACCTGGCGTCAGTCTCTTTACAGTTCGGGGTGTGGCTACTTAAAGCAGGTGGAGCCAAAGGGTATTTGCCGGTGCGGGTCCATGACTGACGTGCATGCGCTGATGGAAATTCAGCTTTGTTTCCAGAAGTGCAAGCCAAAATTCACTGCATTTAGACTGCCAAAGATTAAACGGGTCATGAACTCGCCAAAGTGAACGGGGCATTGAGATGTCAAACGGCTTCAAACGGTTGTGGCGTGTCACTTCAAAAATGCTCCGGGTACTTTGGCTGTTTATAAGTGAGACGCTCGCGTTGGCTCTAGACAGTGTTGGCTTACTCAACTGCTTACTTGACACATAGGAACACAGCTAAGTTTTCCTAATATATTGGACTTGTTATTGTTAGTAGCCTACTTTACCAGGCAGCAACATATACCCCTTTTCCACCAAAAAAAGAACTGGTTCGGAACTGGTGCTGGTTCAAAGTTGGTTTGGAGTTGGTTTAACTTGCGAACCGCTTCAGAGCCTGTTTGTTTTTCCACAGACTAGAGCGCCCAGGGAACGACGTCGTTATGTCACTGTGTACGTCGCTAGAAACGCTTGCAAGTAACATTACTTTGGGATTATCTCTAACTCGTGTACCAAGAAGGGTTTAAAAACAATTGAAATATGTAAGTCTTTTAAACTTTTCGTTTGATATGTAATCTTTTCTGATTAGTTATGTACCCCTGTCTTGTGTCTTTTTCATTTCATTTATTGGTTCTATATTGTGACTTTTCTTCTTTGCTTATAGTGATTTCAATTAAAAAAAATAGAAACGCTTGTGCCAACTTCAAGCATAACAATTACAAAGGCGGACTCCATCGCGTTTCTGTAAATGTTTCTCCTGGTTTTGCGATCCTTTATTATGGTCAGAAAAGATGTTTAGAACACATCTAAACCCGCCCCAGCCCCCGACGCAAGCATGACGTGGTAAAAGAACGGTTCTAGTCCAGCAAACAGTTGGTGCCGCTTTGGAACCAGTTCCCCTGGCCGACAACCGGTTCTTTGGCTGTCGAAACACAAAGAACTGGTTCACGCGCAGGCACCGGCTCCGAACCGGCTCTCAAAATGCTGTGGTGGAAAAGGGGCTATAGTGACGGCCCAGATCCATCCCACATGTGGTACACGTGGATTCCACACTTACCAGGTGTGGGCCGGATCTAGGCCGGCACTGTTGCTGTCTGAGTAGGTGTCACTATGTTGCAGAAATGACATTCTTCATCTTTAATTAAAGGGACTTTTTTTAGAAATAGGCCAATTTTACAACTCCCCCAGAGTTACACAGTTGGGTTTTACCGTTAAGAATATCAGTACCATATATAACCAGTTGTATGCACTATAAGAAATAGTATATATTTTTTCCTACTATGGAAGTCAATGGGACCAGAAACTGTCTAGTTATTGATATTCTTCTAAATATCAGGAAATCGGCTGAATGGATTCGAAAATGGAAAAACTCAACTGTTTAATTCTGAGGGAGTTGTAAAATGAGCCTATTTCCAAAAAAAAGTGGAGTATCCCTTTAAAGGAGAGCCATAGATGGGTAATGCAATGGTTTCATAGTAGTAAGATCTGAATTTGGCTACCGTAACAGGGTTTGTACCTGGTTCTGGTGAAGTGGATTGCAGATGTAAAGACTCTTCTTCAATGGGAGTGTCTGTGTGACCCTCAGGATCTGAGGTGAGAATCTGATCAGGAGGAAAAAGATTTTGTCATTTGAAAGAATCGCTGTAGATAGATTCACAATAGCTTTGCTTTAAAATTAAAAAAATGTAAAAGCTGTTTTGAATGTCTATAACACAGTTTTGTTTTTGATTTGAATCAATTAATGGTAATGAATGTTGTCTTTGAATAGATTCAAATCCATAAAATAAATTCCATTCCTCGTTTTTATCTCTATCTTCTCGTTTTATCTTCTATCTCTGGCCGTTTTTACACGCACAAAAAAAATCAGATTATAAAAGCATAATGTAAATGTGATAACCTGATTAAGTTACAAGAGCAGTTTCTAGAAATTCTAAGACAGTGTTATGTTATGTAGATACCTCATGTGAAAGATTGTGTGTTAAAAAAAATATTAATTTATATCAGATCAAAAATAAGTCTGGGAACTAAATGCAGTGATTTTAAAAGGTCACTTTTTGCATCTTCAAAGTTTTGGTTACCTGGACTTTCACACAAAAACCTCTCATTAAAAAAAAAAAAAAAAAAATCAGCATTCTTTTATGCATAGAAAACTCAAAGGAACAGCATTTATTTGAAAATGAATGCCTTTGTAACATTATGAATGTGTTTATTGTCTTAATTAAAACTTTTGACCAATTTAGTTCACTCTTGAAGAATATCTAACTGACCTTAAACATTTGAACTCTAGTGTATCTCCAAAAGAGAATTATGGGCATATTAATGTCTCAATGTCATGTCCACATGTATTAATATACATGAAAAGCCCAGTATATGAATCTTAATCTAAAAAAGATGTGCATGTAAACATGGTCAGTGTGGTGAGATTGTGATGTTTGGTTCTTGCCTGTCGAACAGCTGTGAGGTTGGTCAGTGTCCCAATGCTGTTGCTGTCTGCGATGACCATAGCCTGGGACAGGAGACTGGAGGAGGGGTAAGAGCTCAGGTCTGCTTTGCTATACACTGAAACGCACAATATTAAAGCAGAATTTGGGTTAAGGCAAACTAGGTCTTTACATGGTTCTCTTCCATTCAAAACTCAACGGCACCATGTGATTGTTGTGTAGTAGCTAGAGTCTTCTGATTAAGTATGTTGCTACACTACCGGTCAAATTTGGAAAAAATAATGACTTTTTTGTGTGTGCTTGTTTAAATTAAGTCTCTTATGTTCACAAAAGCTGCATTTATTTGATCAAAAACAGTAATTTTACTTTTAAAAATTATTTTTAATATTTTGAAATGGAATCTGGCAGCAAAACTGAAATCACGTGTCACATGATCCTTCAGAAATCTTTCTGAAGTGCTGATTTGCTGCTCAGCTATTTTGTTATTGTTGCTTAATTATTTTTTTTAATGGTTCTTATTATTAGTAATATTTTGTGGAAACTGACCCATTTTGTTTTCAGCATTCTTTAATGAATAGAAAGTAAAACAAATTAACAGGAAAAAAAATATTTTGAAATATTATGTCTTTACTTTCACTTTTGATCAATTTATTGAATCCTTCCTGAATATGTGTTCCCTTGTTTTTCTTTTTTTATTTCACTACCCAGAATGGTACTGTATCATGGTTTACACACAAAAAAATATTAGCATCACAAATGTTTTCAACGTTGATAATTGTAAAAAAAAAATATGTGTCTTGAGCAGCAAATCAGCATATTAGAATGATTTCTGAAGGATCATGTGACATTGAAGGCTGGAGGAATGGTGCTAAAAATTCAACTTTACAATTACAGGAATAAAATGCATTCTAAAATATATTAACATAGAAAACACTTCTTTTAAATTAATAATATTTTACAACATCACTAGTATTGTTGCTATTACTGTAGTTTTGATCAAATAAAATGTATCCTTGCTGAAGGGAACACCACTATAGTGCATAGACTGCTTTAGCGTATGTGGTTGCTATGATGTTTTGGATGGTTTCTAAGAAATCATTAGATGGTTTTGTAAAAAATGTTCCACCATAATAATAAGCACCACTAATTAATTACTTAAACCACTAATTAAGTGTACTTACTGTGGCATGGGAACTGTGCCATTGTTGCCATGAAGGAGCTTGGGCCAATGTGTGACTGGAGCTGCTGTGCTATTGGCTGCTGAGGTGAGGATTGAAGCTGCTGCTGAAAAGAGATTGGCTGAAGGGTAGTAAACCCTCCCCCCATGTTGACTGTCTGTGGTTGAGAGGATGTCAAACCTACAGTAAAATATGTGTATTAACATTAATTAGCAGTGTTTTGTTGTTAAACTGTTCATGTAGATCACTATATGCATTATACCTATGAGAAGTGAAGAGTCTCCAAGACTCATTACACTTGGTAGGGAGGCCATGATCAGTCCTGGAGGGGCAGCGGAGGATCCGGATAATCCATGCAAGGAAGTGAGAGTACTAACAGGAGGTAAGGAGCCACAACCAGATACCTAAGAGAGGAATAAAAACCAAGACTGTCAGGCTTCAGTTTCCATTTGCCTGGCTTAAAGGAATAGTTGACCCCAAAAGTGAAAAATCTCATGTGGGTTGCTCAAAGATGTGCTACGATTCTCCTATTGAGTTGTTTGGAACTATTATATTTGGCGAAAAAAGAGCAAAAATAAACAATACTGTGTCTAAAATATAAAATAAGTCAGTTAATAATAACTTATTGTTTTTCAAACTGTTAAATAAAATCAATATCACATTTGCGATCACGCAGGGAAAACAACAGCACTTATACTGTATGTCATACATGCAAAGAAAAAAAAAACACTAGAAAGGGGGCATTTTTTGCACCCATAACGTGAATTTTTGGAGCAGTTTAGTGGCATTTTTGCCTCAAAGCCCTGTTATATATTATGTAGGGTATGTAATTTGGGAGAGGCTAGGAATAACAAGCTAGCTTTAAAAGTGTAAGATCCCACTTTCCCTTCAGAGTGTCTAGGAGGAACTGTAAAAGGTTTCTGTAACACTTTAGAATACGGTTCCTTTGTTAATGAATAATTATACAAGAACCAAGGAGTAACACTATTAACAATCTACTAACTATTAACTAAAAAGAAACTCTGATTAACAAATTAGTGAGTAATAACACACAGATGAAAGTTGTACTTCACTATTAACTAATCAATAACTACTTTTTTTTCCCCCAGAGAACTACTGAAAAAGTTTCATAATTCATGCAAAACTAATCAATAACCAATGCAGGACAAATGACTATCACTACATTAACATTTTAACTGCTACTGTAAATTAATACACAAGGTTGTTTACATTATCAATTATAGCATAGTAGACTTATGATTTGGGAAAGCTGTTAATTATTGGCCTATGCTGTCTATTTATCAACTGAATCATTTTTAAAGAAATTGATTTTTAAATGCAGTTGTCGGGACCTTATACTGTGGCCAATTTTCCAAGATGGTCCACTCCTCACTGGAGAACAAGAAATCCAGGGTACACATTTCCACCTTCACCCTCTGACCTCCAGATCCAACTCCTCCCACCTTACATATACCTTAATCTACCCATCTCCACCCCCTGATCCCTAACCCCACCCCTAATCCTACCCATCTCCACCCCTTAGATCTGGATCCAACTCCGCCCCCAGGATCTCATGAACTACAATGAGGTGCTACTGGATTTTTCCGGCATTCCTCTGGACTGGCATTGAATCACTAGAGTCATAGTGAGTACTGGAGCATATTGAGTCATCAGCCACCCAAATACCATA